CACGGCGTGGTCACATTTCCCTATTTAATAACTGTACCTATATAGTGTGTCGTTTAATTAGATCTATTTTCTACGCTCTGCCAGCATCGTGTGTTTGGCATTTTACATAAAATAAATAATTCCCGAATTGCGCGCGTCACACACACACACACACACACACACACACGCACACACACGTGGAATGCGCCGCCCGAGGTGAAGTGGGCTGCGAGAGGAAGAGAATCACACACACACACACACACAACATCCATACACACACACACACACACACATAGCCGCATCGAAGAGTGCGAATTTAATTATCTTTCCGAAGAAGACAAAAGAAGAAAGAGATATCGCAGCCTTAGACCCCATTTCTCTCGTCCTTTTACGCGAGCATCGCCCGATGGACGCGACGCGCGAATCCCTTGAAAAATTGAGAGCGACCGTTCGACAAATCGAAGCTGATTGACGCTAATCGACCGACTTTCAAAGGGACGTGTCCCCGGAAAAAGAAGAAGTACCTTTGCCGAAGAAAGTATTACGACGTACAGAAAGATGCTTCTCCCTGAGACAGTTGGTGCGGCAAACTCCGATCAGACCAATCGACGATCAACCGACAGGATCAATGGCGATTCGCGGCCGTGTAATTTGTCGCTTACGTCCTTGCAATGATGAAGACGAAAAGAAATCAGTGATTCCGTGTATGTTGACAAAATGAAGCAGTCTGTTGCACTTGACTGTCCGATCGCGACGAATATTTTATCCATAATAAATTAGAGGGGCGAGGTAGTGGGAAAAGCGCGAGAGAATGTCCTTTGCCGCTCTGATAACAGGCCATCCTGTTTTCCATATCGGCAATATAGCGGAGTTAATCGTCGATCGGCTGAATCAATCGTGAGTATCGGTGAGGCTCGGTGAGGCTTTTTACTCGCGATGAATTTCCGAATATCCTCCTGCGTTACCGTCTTTCTCTCTCTTGTAACGCGGACAGAGATATGACTCTTCAGCGTCGCGGCACCTCGAGCGGCGTTCGCGAGATCGGCCGAAGAGGCTCCGTCCGCACGTCGAACGTGCACGTCGCGATCCTCGTTCTCCTCGGATTTGTGCTCGTGATTGGACATCACTCGCGAACTCGCGGAATCCGAAGATCGCGCCGGTGAGGAGACCTCCGTCGCCGGGGCTCAGCCCCGATGTGAAATGCGGCGAAGGAAGAGCTCGCGAAGACGACGCTCGGGGCGCGTTCATCGGGCGAGTTCATCGTTCGCGAGCAATCGGGCTCACTCGCGGGACTCGACGATGAATGAAAGGAAAAGGGATAACACACATACACACACATATGAGGAAAGAACTGTACATATATATACGTGCGCGTTTACTATTATCTACTTACTATTACGAGACTTACTCCTAAGATCTTTGGCTAAATACGACTTTATAGAAGTGAGACTCTCTCTGATCGAGGAAAACAACAAAAAACGAGCTACATTGCATACATTGTTTAGCGCCATTGTGACTCTATCCCCCTTCTTAAGAGAATAAGCATATATATTATATTTGTTTATATATACATAAATACGACACACACACACACACAAAACACACACACACACACAACAAACACACGTATATAGACGCATTGGTACTATTATTATTATCATTATTATGGTTAACGTTACACGGTTCTTATCATTATTGATATCGCGTCTTCACTATTATAATTATCATTGTCGTGTGAAGAGATACGATGAGTAATTATTAAAATAAATAAAAAGGAAATCTTACTTATACATAATTATAAATACGTCATGACGATATATTCGTAACGATTAATTATTACGGTAAAGCATAATGACATTATTATTACTATTATAAATAACACCCTATTCCCATCCGTTGTGAATGTTTACGTTGTTTTATGATATTCAGAATATTCTAAAAATAAAGTCTATAATTTCCACGATCCCTCGTTATCGCAATGTTTCAACTAAAACACTCCCCTCCCCCCCCTCCGAGCCTGTGACGCAACTTGCGCTTGATGAAAGAAACATTTTATGCGGAATCAGTCGCTCGCTCGACGAAAAACTCGCTGGCAGAGATACACTCCGTCCACTGCCGCAATTTGCAAGTGCGAGTCGAAACGATAAGACGTATCTGATGCAGTGCTAAATATGGAATTAGCCCGATAAGATATGCATTATCTATTTTGCAAGTCTACGTTAACGAAATTGCATATTACATAAATAACATAGCGACATTCCTGCTATGAGCACGTAAACGTGCTCATAGCAGGACATTTTAACATGTGGAAAAGTACGCATCAACATTTCGAACTTGGTCGACCAACGGACCGAATGTCGCGAATTCTTTCAAACGCCGCGCGACTTGCTCGAGGCTTTTCGCTCGAGTCGTGATTAGAGTTTCCAATCCCGGATACAATTTAGGATCCCGGGATTTCAGGAATTTTTGGATTCCATCCCGGGATCCCGGGACTAGTCCCGGGATTATATATATGTAAAGAAAGTAGAAATGTGCGAATCAAGAATTTTTCGAATCGAATCGAATCGAATCTCATTTTTTTAATTCGAATTCGAATCGAATCGAATCTATGAAATTTCATTCGAATTCGAATCGAATCGAATCATTAAAAAATTTAACATGACTATTAAACATGCACATAATGATGGAAGGTTTTAATATGAAAGGGGATATTGATATTGTAATATCATCTTAAAGTAAAATATGTATTTAAATATTTAAAGTAATTTATAATTAAGTTATTAATTATAAGTTAAGTTAATTACAAGTTAAGGGTTCAAACATACAGGCCCAGATGTCTCGTTTTGTACTTGATGCATGCAAATATAATGCACGCTAATATATTTGATTCGTAATTGAATCTTCGATTTGAAATTTTCGAATTATTCGGATTCGAATCATAGGGATTCAGATTCGAATCGAATCGAATTACATTAGATTCGATTCGATTCGATTCGAATTCGAATAGTTCGCACATCTCTAAAAGAAAGAAACAAGGAATATTTACAAATAATAGAATTATTTTATTTATAGAATGTTCATAGACTTTTATGAACATTATGACGAACAAAAAGTAAAATTTCAGTAAAAATGAAAGCAACTTACATTAATGATTGCACAAAAACCGTTACAATTAAAAATTAAAGTTTCTGTAATAAAAATAAAAATAATTATTTCTTCTTTTTCACATTGAAAAAGCGACTTTAAAAATAATAAAACATAAATTTTGTTAAAAAATATCTGATCGAGGATCCCGGATTCAAGGATCTGTGTTGCGCCACTTTAACCGCGAGATTTAAAATAGAAAACTCCCTTAATATTTAAAACAGATAAAAATAATACATGGAATTAAATTTAAAATATAAATACACACTTCTCTAGCAAATGCTCTAAAACATCAGTGATAAGTAATAATTATTAAAGTGAAATTTTTGTAAAACGTAAGTATTATATAGACACTAAGCATTAAATTTTGAAATCCCGAAATCTCGGGATTTGTGATGTTGTATCCCGAGTATTTTCGGGAACAAAATTTGACCGGGATCCCGGGATCCCGGGATTGGGAACTCTAGTCGTGATGCAATGACCTCGTACCTTGAGGTTGTCAGAGTCCGAGGAAATTCGTCACACTCGAATCCCGAATGCTTTGGCAACTTTCAAGTTGCTCACGCTCAACAGCTCAATATCGTTATCGTTATCTAGTCGTTGCGCGACTTTGCTAGATTTTGCGCCTGCGCGACGACAACATGACGATATAACGACGCCGTCAGCTACAAAAGAGTCACAGATGCGATCAACCTATTCCGTAAAATTTGTAAAAAAAGTGTCGCGAGACAAGTGAAATTTCTCGGCAATAAGTTCGAGCGAGACAAATATACTTTTTCTCGTTCTAATTCATTGCATCAGCGGTACAGCTTCAAAGAACGGCTTGCCGTTGAATTGTCCTTGAACGCGACCCTGTCCGAAAGCGACGGATTTAGGCGACGCAGACCCGCGGCTGGTAGCGAAGCTAGTGAGGCCGCGGGCCCTCGCGGCCGAGGACGACGACGACGACGATTACAAAAGTATCTAAAACTTTCCGTACTTGATCTTAGCTCAAGCAGCCGAGAAGTGGCAGAACAGTATGAGACTTTTATATTTCTTTTAACCCGCCCTATGTTTTCACGAGCTCTGCAACAATTGTTACGAGACTTCCTGTATATGAGGTGTTGCGAGACAATTTTTACAGAGCTCGTGGAAATATAGACTGGATTGAAATCAATATAAAAATCTCATAGCGGTTTTCGATATTCGTAACAGTTTATTAATGACAGAAATCTGACGAGTAAGCGCGCGCTGAGATGGATGGAAAAGCTTCGCAGAGCCGTCGGGCCACAGCGCGGCCTGATCGATCCAGCAACTATTTTGGCCCCGCGGGGGGGGGGAGGGTAGGTGCGACGAGGTAAAACACGAATAGTCGCGCACCGGCAATAGTTGTTAGCTTGAGTGTTATCTTGAGCGTAGCTATAGCAGTCGACATTATCATCGCGCTTCAATCACCCTTGAGGCCCCTTGGTCAATACGAAAATTTACCCAGGGTTGACCCAGTCTTAATATTACCTCGTCGGTGTTTGTAGTCAAGCGCAAAAGTCAATTTTAGAGCCTCTATTTTCATAAAAGAATATTTAGAGAGCTTTAGGTCGAATTGTCTGTCGCGAAGACGGCAGCAGCGGCACGGCCGGCTGTGAAGTTTTCCAAGGACCCCGAAAAAGCCCCGCGAAAGAAAAGGAGGGCGTACTAGGTGGCGACGGGAGACGCCGTGCGTTCGGGACCTGCATCTTATTTTCGTTCCGAAGAGAGAAAAATATCGAGAGCGCGGTAGTCGTTAGACCGGGAATCGAACCCGGGTCTTTCGCTCGCCGGCCGACTGCTCGAAGAAGCGAATCAAAGAGGCACGACTCGCGAGGCGCTTTCAAATTTCGTGCGGCCGAGCGCGGGGCGCGAGCGCGGAGCGGCGACGCGCACCGAGCGACGTTCTCCACGGGCGCGGGGCGGCCCTTCACGGCGCGTCATATTTAGGACAATGATCCGGCGAAGGGACGGGCTCGCGGACGAAGCGGCGAGGACGTAGCGCGTGCTGTACGCTGCCGTATTCGAAATTCGAAACCCGCCTCGATTCGGCCGTGGCGTGGCGGAGCCATCGTGGCGATACTAATATGCGATGTGCTAGCACCGCTGCTACATGACGTAAGTCACGTCACGGGCGAGTCGGTGCGAGTTCAGTGCGGAATGGGCGGCGGTAAATAGAGACGAGCGAACGCGGCGAGTTCACGTCATATTTTGCGACGCGGCGGCCGCCGCGATCGAGCCACGTCAAAACGCACGCGGGGGACTGTGACCTGAAGAAGTGGCCGGGGAATGGCGAGTCTGACGAGGAAGATGTGAGCGAAACGCATGTTCGAGAATTTATTGTGTCTGCGGCACGAGAGACCGAGACTGAAAGAAAGGGGGAGGGAGAGAACATCAGCCAACGTTTTATCTGTATTCCCACGATTTTTATGAATCTGCCTGTGCCTCGGTGAGAGACGGACGGACAAGAGAGCGGGAGAGAGAGAGAGAGAGAGCGTCAGACGTGGACAGACGGGAAGCGAGAGAGCGGAAGAGCCAGCGTTGAAAATGTCATTTGAGGGGAAATACAACGCGAAGAGCCCAGGTAAGCATCGCCGAGGCTGCGTTGACACGCGAATCTGCGCCGGTGCTTTGTTTTGACCGATCGCACACGACGGCCCGTTCGTGCGTTTCCGAGTCCAGGTAGCTATTGTGCGAGTCCGGCTCTCGCACACCTGTCCTACGACGTTGTCACTCTTCTTCGTCACCGACGTTTGTGCCACCGACGTGATTTGATAAAATGTGATTTTATCTATGCATATCTGCAAGCGTATGTGCGATGAATCTTTGGTTTAATACACGCAAGGAACTCGATTGAAGATTGTCCATAATGAGAGTAAGAATATGCAGTAAAACGTAAAACGGTTTATTATAAAAATAATCGACTATGGTTGATTTATTTCTTACCGCTTACGTCTTATTGCAGATGAGTGCTTAATCCACATGTTTTTCATGCAGCAATAAACATAGATCTTAAGCATTGTATAATGTTATCTTTTCCTTATGTAATACAGCGGTGAAGCGATTAATGAGAGAGGCACAGGAACTACACGAGGCTACCGAAGAGTATTGTGCGTATCCTTTGGAGGATAACTTGTTCGAATGGCATTTCACGGTACAAGGACCACCGTCTACAGATTTTGAAGGTGGTGTATACCATGGGAGGATCCTACTACCACCAGAGTATCCCATGAAGCCACCAAATATCATCTTGTTAACGGTAAGCTTAAATCAAAGTTGAAATATATGGGTCATAATATATACATACACATATGTTTAATACTTGATGATGATATATTGTGACAAGTTGATATTATTTTGATATAGCCAAATGGACGCTTTGAGATCAACAAAAAAATCTGCCTGAGTATTTCTGGCCACCATCCTGAGACGTGGCAACCATCTTGGAGTATTAGAACAGCATTGTTAGCTTTAATAGCTTTTATGCCTACACCAGGAAGTGGTACCATAGGAGCTTTAGATTACAGCACCGAAGAACGACAAAAACTAGCTAAAAAGTAATAATGCTTGCAATCAATATTGCAAGGAAAATGTCGAATGTATTTTTCTAACAAATCCCTATGTTATAGGTCACTGAATTGGCAATGCGATACATGCGGTAAAGTAGTGGACTTGTTGTCCAAGAATTCTGTAAAAAAGCCCATCACCGAGGAAGAAGAAACCATGTTGAAAACCATCGCTCTGAAGGTAAGCGATTGGTCTCGGTTTCCTATAATTTCCCACAGACTCGTTTATATGTCGACATGTATGTTTGCACAATTGGAAAAGTCGGCGAGCACAATTACATCTTAGCGGATTCGCGAAAAGACTTGAGAAAGATAGATGTTTGTGAGAAAATTATTATTATTATAGGCAGACGACTCACCTATTTTGGACACGTTATTTACGGATAGTAACACAGAGAGCGTATCCGAGAGCGAATTACGGCATCGTAACGTGGAGACGAATTTGTCGGAAAACTTAGACCGCCAACAACCTGATATTATTTTAAATCCTGTAGAGACAATGTCTTCTTCGAACGATTTGTTTTGGAGTATACTTATTGCCTGTTTAGTATCGGCGATTATTCTCTTGATACTCCGACGACTATTTCTCGTTTAATTTATTCGTATGTATGTATGTTGTGTTTGCATGTATATACATATATATATATATATACATATATTGCGCATGTATATATGCATACTATATACATATATATATATATAAATATATATATATATATATATGTATGCGTTTGTATATACATGCAATATATATGTATATACATACACCACGCGCGGCGAATGTGATGTTATTAAAACAAGGTAAATTTTATACATGTTTTGTGGATATCGTTTCTAAGCTTACGGAAACAATCGGATTCAAACGATGCACGTATATGTAACATATTGCAGACTATCTGCTTCTCATGAAGAATGTAACACATGGCGAAAGTAAATAAGTATTAATATATGTTAGTACATGTCCACCTTGTTCCTATAAACTGCACTTGTATCTGTTTCATAAATCCTGGAAAGTTCATTTAGTTCATACCACTGAAGCGAAGAGTCTGTTGAGAGACCAAGTCCTCTCGCTCTTGATTAATTTACTATGCGCATATGATTATAATAATTCTAATTATTATAATTTTATATATATATATATATACATATAAAATTTGCTACATGTATATTATATTATACTAGTCGCTTGCTTTCCTTAATGGCGTTAGTGATGAAAAAGAGATTTCTCAAGTGTAAGCACAAAATAAGCATATTATTTCGTTCGATATTAAATTCGATATTATGATGGATGATGGATTGTTTTTTTAATAGAAAATGTAGATGAGCTAAAGTTATATTATATAGTAAAATCTGGTAATTTTGATATCAATAATTTTTAAAGATACTCTGAGCTGCCTATGAATGATTGCTGTATCATTTCTTTTCCGGCAAGTTACATTGCGCGATATCTTAAATCGGCACCGTTTCCTAACAAACGCATACGAAAAACTTTATAACTTTCGTATACTTCATTATACACGTGTATAGCCACTGTAACAAAACTCGATGTATGATACAGCTGATTAGGGAAAGGATTTAGGACAGATTTGGACTAAGTTCAGTTTTTGTATGTACATAGAAATATAATAAAGTAACTATTTATTAAAGCATATAAACATATTACCTCTTAACACTTATTACAGCCCAAATATAATGATGTTCTTCAATTCCACACATTTTCGCGTTTACATTTATCAATCTACAATCTCTTTTTAAATTGATATGACACGTCTCTTCGGGAGTGCTTACTTCTAACATCCGAATATATAAAAAAAAAAGAAAAAAAAACCCAACGTATTTCTTAAACTTGGTGTGTACGTGAGTGTGTAGAGGTCATCTTTAGGTCGTGTACAACAATATAACGGAAATATCTATTAAAATGTATAAAATGTGGATAACATAACTGCAGTTCTAAACAAATTTGTAATTTTTATTATCTACATTAAGGCATCCTACGCGTATTGTTTATATCATAACTGTTTCAGATATTTTTCGCGTGCACTCCACTACGATAAAACAATTCCCTGCTATTTCAGTTTTGTACACTTGCGCTATTTCTCGTATTTTCCCAGTTATTTGATCTGCCGTTTTATGCACTTTAAACTCTGTTCGTATCTTTTAAATTGTAATCTAATGTCACTCTGGAATAGCTTGAAAAGCAGGCAAAGAAAACAATAACACAAGACGGAATGTGCTCAATGTACTAAAAAACTTACAAAGCGTATATCTCGCGATGCGATATATAATCTTACTCTTTAAATAAGTTATTGTCAAACGGAAGCTGCAGATGTGAGCGAAATTAAAAACACCGACGTTGCTAAAGTTCACGATATAAAGTCCAATTAAATGCACAATCGCACTTGTGAGCCGAATATTTAAATTTCAAAATAAGAAATATATATATATATATATGTGTGTGTGTCTCATTTATGTACACGAATTTATTGCACGTATGCAAATACCGTCAAAATATTTATCTCGCAAATTCTATATAGCATTTGGCGTAGGAATTCGTTTCGTATTAAAGATTATTACAAGGTACATCGCAACACAAATACTCGTCCGATCTCCGTGCTCGATTATCTAAATTGTACAGCGTATGTTTTTGAAACGATATAAACGTGTCGCGTTATATTGTTCCAAGAATTGCGTGATATCGAGCCAGTACGATACTTCTTCGCTTTCTCGTTCAAAAGTACAGAGCAGATCTGTAACTTTGCGCGGTAAGTCTTTACGATACAAAAATACAAACAATTCCATTAATTACAATTGAGTCGTTTATCAGCTAGTGTCAGCATTGCTCCATTCGCCCGTCTCTTTCAGCGCTCTGTCTGTCAATCGTTCTATCTCGGTCAGAAGCTGCTCGGTGTCTATATCGACACATACCATGTCTGGCTCAACCGGATCCCATTCTAAACTGTTTGGACTCGAAACACGAGACCAAGGAGATGCTGTCAAGCTAGAGGGCTGGCTATTATTAACTGACGTTTGCGTTAAAGAGCCCTCAGTGTCGCCTTTTTCGTCTTCTATGATCGGCAGAGGCATCCCTGTATGGGTGTACGATATATTAATACATTCGGCATTCCGGAAGATTAAGTGATGGTGAAAATTACCTTCGTGTTCCCACTCGAGATCCAGCGACGATCCCGGAGTGGAGGAAACATACGTCTGCTGTCTTATTAAAGTTCTTGCATCGAGAACTTGAAGCGATGTATCCAATCCCGAACTAATTTACATGATGTCTTATTTTATTACTTACGTACTTATTTTATTATTTACGCAATGCATAATAATCTCAAATGTATAATTAAAGTTGTGCGATGAAATGTACCTTGTAGAAACATCGTTTCTAGAGCTCAATCTGGCATACTTGTTGCCACCTCGTGACCATCCTCCATCTTCCAGTAGTTCCAAAGTTACCGGGACACCGTGTTTTTTCTATAATTCAAATATATCATTGAATAAATTTTTATTGTGATGAAGCATGCAAAATATACGGTACAATGATATGATACAATATTATTACATGTGTATGATATTTACCTTAAGCTTTTTTAAAGAGAGAAACGACAATAAACTACACATCCAGTAAGCATGGTAGTAAAGGTAAAGAAGTAAAGGTAACATTAATATTGTGTGTTATTTACAATTAAAAGTGATAAAACCAAATGAGTACATCTTACCTTTTTGATCCTTTACTTTGGTCTTCATCTCTTTCAGTATCCATGAACTAAGCGCAAAGTAAAAGCGATACTAGAATTATTAATGCCAGCAAAAAAATACAAACTATTTTACAAAAGATACAAATAAATATATATACTTCAACTTGTTCTTCTCCTTGGAAAGACATCCTGGTATGTCTTGGATAGAACCTGTGCCAAAAATAATAAAATTTCCGATAAGTATACGGAGGATAAGCATGTTAGAAATTTGTAATATAACATCTCCAACAAATCAGCAAGGCAGGAGAGTCTGAAGCTACTAGAGCATGTACATACAACTTTGTAAGTATGACGTACGTACACACACACACACACACACGTACGCAACTTAATCATGACACTGTCACTCTCAACTCGTGAGTCATACTCGCAAGCTGACGAATAAAAGTAAAACAATTTTCTCAACAAAACTCGACAGCCAGCACCGTTCTTCGTCGCAGTAATGCTCTAGCAGCCGACGTTTCTCTGTCAAATACCATCAGTGCTCCAACCTGTACGGCAGAGAATCTGTGACTTTCGCAAAGCAGTGGCCGAGACAGGCCCCCATGACCTGTCAACACACGGCGCCTCGCCGTCATCTAACTGATATGGGTGTTCAGATACCAGCGTTTAATTCCACGTGACACGCGATAACGAGTGACTGCGACCCTTCGCTCGGTGCCGCCCGGTGTTGCTGATACCGCGACAGGGCACGACGACTGCGACTCATCGTTTCTGACCGAGGCCAATACCTCCGCGACCAGCGCATCGGAGCGTGCTCACGTCCACGTCAGTGTGCGGGGTGCATCCCTTGGATGTGTGTCTACTGTCTATAGACATATGATGCTTACGGCGAACTTTTAAACGACAGACTCGTCAGTTATTAGCTGGAAGAGACGCTCCTGATGTGTCATCCAGTCTATTTGAAAAATAAAAGTCCTCCTCTAATCTGCCGTTGGCTCGTACTACTTAAGAAAATTAATCCGTCAACTTTGTCGTCGAGTCATACCACCTCCACTCTGCATCGAAGACAATGGCGACTTATAACGGAGACTTTGGTACTAACGAGAATATCCTAATCGAGACTGGATATACTTTTCTCTTTAATATACCCATCAATGTATGAGATACAATCGATAAATTTAAACCTTTGAAGTATATAAAATAATAGATTAATATTAATAGAATATACATTAAGCGGGATTAAGGCCGGTATTCATAGTCGGATCTTATACTCAGGACCGTCTTAAGTTTAACTTCAGATTCTGTACAAATCATTTCATTGGCTATGGGATATCTGGAGGTAAACTTAAGGCGGTCTTACATATAAGACCTGACTGATGAACACCGGCCTAAATGCAGTACCGTACGTAGTACGATTCCAAGATAAAGCAGACGGATCTATAGTTCTAAGTGGTGCGACTCAATGACTGAATAGAGAATCTTTCGTTTTCAAATTATACGACTTAACAGTAAGACAGAACGGGCCTTTTATTCTGAAATAATATAACTCTGCGATTTATCGAGTGCAGTTTTTAATTCTCAGTAGCATGTACATATATGGATTATAAATTTGAATTATCTAATCGTTACGCGCAAGAGCGCTGCCTAGACAAGTCCTCTGTTAACGAGAGATAACGGCGAATGGTGGTGGTCACATGTACTATTTGTCTTTTTCTAAATTTAGCACAACGCATTCGTCCGAGGCAAAGTTTTTGTCCATAAACATGAACGATGTCTTCGTGTGTGTCTCGAAGACGTTAGGGCGATAACATCCACATGACGTTCTCGTGAATCACCGAAGTAACGTCACCATGGTCTCTACAGCCCCATTTGTTTTGTTATTTCTCTTCTTGCTCAACGCTGAAGCCGGTGTACTGAGTGCTGAATATCCAAAGTTACTGGTTGTTTCCTACGATGCGTTCAGGTGTGTATGCAGTATGCGATGCGTCCAAAAATCGGAATGTTATTTGCATTTTATGTTTCTTTTGCTCCAATTTTTTTCTTCTCTGCAGATACGACTATTTCGAAAGAAACTTGACACCGTTCATGAGCCAGTTGAAAGCAAAAGGTACTCATGCGGACTACATGATGAATATCTTTGTCACCAAGACATTTCCCAATCATCACACAATGGCAACAGGATTTTATGCGGAAACACATGGGGTTGTAGATAACGAGTTTTATGATTATTCCACACAAAATATCTCAAAATATTCATATAATCTATTTCATTACAACAAGAATATTCTTCCTATTTGGGTGTGTATAATGCAGTATCATTATCAATACTCTATTTTACATAAGATACATTCATGTATATGATTTATATTTTACTGATTGAATAATCTAGACTATCAATGAAAAAAGTGGCAAAGGTAGACATAGCGGTACAATGATGTGGCCAGGTTCGATATATGAGTATCAAGGTATAACGCCTACTTTTACAAAGGTTAGTGGATATCATTAGATAATATTAGATAATTTATATTCTAAGCTTATTGCATTGAATTATATCAATGACTGTATATTTCAGAAATTCAACATTACAATGTCGTTTGAGGATAGAATTGATACTCTGATATCATGGTTTATACATCCTACGAACCCGATAAACTTTGGTATATTGTATATCGAGGAACCAGATTACCATGGGCATGCCATAGGAATTAATAATCTAGAATTTAATAAAATTCTGCAAAAACTAGACAATATTACAAAATATCTGCATGATAAAATAGATTATTATGGTTTGACTGATCTTAATATAATTCATTTGAGTGACCATGGCATGGCATCTGTTACAATGGAAAGAATAATAAATTTAACAAATTATGTCAACGCTAGTGATTATACTTCAGTGGGGACATCTCCAGGACTGCATATTTTTCCAAATCCTGGTAAGGCTATTTGTGATGCGAAAATCAATGATTTATCATTATCATTATTAAAATCATATCTTTATATCATATATTTCCTTTCAAAATTTTTTTTTTTCTCAGGGAGAGAAGAGCAGATTTATCAAAAATTAAAATCTGCTGCGGAACAGACGAAAACGTTTAAAGTATACAAGAGAGAAGATATCCCAAAAAAGTATCATTACGGTAACAACACTCGTATAGGACCCATTTTTGTTATAGCTGAAGTGGGATATGCATTTCAGAATCTTTATGATACCATAGAAATCTACAAAAGGAGGTTCAACATTACAGGTGATTTTATGTTGTGTTTATCATGTATTTATTTTTATACTCATTGTTGTATTGTTCTTAACATCAAATCATTATTCCCGATTAGTTAACAATCAAACAGAATTTGGATTGCATGGCTACAACAATGAGGATGTACAGATGCATCCGTTCTTTTTTGCAAGCGGGCCCGCCTTCATACCGGGGTGCAAATTAGATCCTTTTAACAATACAGATCTATTTCCTTTATTTTGTAAAATACTTGATTTGGAGTGTCCCGCAGTTAATGGTACTCTATTACATGTAACAAAGTGCCTTAGGACACATTCGACGTATATTGCATCATTTCCATCTAGCATAATCAGTAAGTATATATATGTATCTTATGTGCGGATATATCCTGATAATTGCATACACTTTTTCTAAATTTGTGGTAACATCTGTTTTAGTAACTGCCTCAATTCTTTGTGTATTGACGGTATTAGCGTTATTTATATGGAACATAAAGTATTGGAGGAAACGAGGATCAGGTTTTATCAATATAGAAGAAAGCGAAAATCAATACAGGTTATAAGGTAAATCAATATAGAGAACGAATGTATCGATGAAAATTAATGTATTCTGAATAAGGTTTAGAGATTCCTCATTTTTCTTATGTTAATAATATTATCATCTTGTTGAATTGGCGAAATAAAATGGTAATAACATTTGTACGGACATGACAAGATAATCTTACGTTTCCGGGAATTTGTTCCTTTTTTTGTACCGGATAATATTGCAAAATTATATCGATACACATGACATTGTTTATATTTTTTTTATTAATTTTTAAGTTTTAGGTTTAAGAAATGGAAACTGGAAGTATTGTGTATAATGCATATCATTGTTTCTTGTTTTTTTTTACAATGAAAGTTAAGTATTATTCGAATGTTCTCAGACCTCATATCGGAAACATGTTATTAATTCCTATGTAAATAATTATGTATATTCAGTGATAAAAAGATATTACTTAGAGATTCTTAGGGAGGGGTTCTTAGCGTTAATGCAAATTTTTAGACCTTTTACCGAATATGTAAAAAATTTTTTTAACATGTATAGTAAGAGAACACATACGTAAGCACACGGACGTAGCAAATTTATCAATTTACTAATATCAGTAATATAATATATAACGTAATGTATAATGTAATATATAATATAAGTTTTCTCTATGTATGGATTAATGAGTGCATAATATAGTTAACATTTACCTTCCGTTCAAATTTCACTTATAAAAGGTAAAACCCGACAAATTCCCGAGTGTCCAGAAAAGCTTCGGCTCTGAAAACGTATAATGGATTAAAAAAATAAAAAAATAAATAAAACTTATAGTAGTAAAAACGTATGGCGGATTTTGCAATTGAATCGTGAAAATAATCAGCATTCCAAAATATATGACATGGAAATACCCGTAGAATCAATTTATTGGCAGAGTAACTAAAAAGTTTGCGTGGAATCCACTTCACTCGTCGATGTATCGATTACAAAGCATACAACCGAGATTCTTCGGTCGCTCGATAAGAGTATTAAGCATTCGACCGAGGATCGATCCGCGTCGTATCCACATGGTCGGGCTGATCTATCCCATCATGCGATCGTACGGATTAATCAAGGACCAAGCAGTTCCCCTCGAGCTCCTTTCTCGCACATTATCCGATCCAATTGCTGCGCCGGCGCGCCGATCTCGGTATCCGAGAATGAGGCGTACACAAACGAAGCGATTTGCATTCAGTTATTCCGCATGAAAGTCCCCGCGTTATCTACCCGCGAGATCCTTTTAATAAACGTAATGACACAACACGCAGGCCTCTCGCTCCCCGAGAGATCGTTCTTGCGTACTAGCGCGGGCCGTCGCGCGGCGTTTTATCGCCGCGGAATACGACGCGGAGAGCGATTTTCTTTCGTGCGTGCGCGCGCGCGCGCGCGCTTCCTCATCCGCGATAAGGTTTTCATACTACAGTAATTGCACATCAGATCATTATCGCGCCTCGTCTTCGTAAGTTGTGTGAAATTAATCACACCTGCAGGATGCCAATGGAGAACGGATTTCGTGCGCGAGAGAGGGAGGAGGGAAGAGGAAGAGGGATATCGATTGGAATCGCTAATGAAACGTGCGGCGTTAACGTTGCCCCTGATGATTCCGCTCGATTCGCCTATTTTACGCAAGGATGGTTACGTATGATCGCTATTAAAGCAAACATGCAGGTGGTAGAACGAGGACACGTGCGCGCAGCTTTACTTTCTGTGGGTGGGAAATATCGCAACGGCGCGAATGATCGCCGCGAGTGCGAAATTCGCAATTAGCGAATGACGAGAAGGGAACGGACGAAGGGAAGAAGAAAAATACTACGCGGCTCGGTCGGGAATTGCCCCGTTCGAGCTTGCGCCCTCCTTATTCAGGACGATGAACCACTTACCGCGGTAAATAGAGATGTTACAGATAATGACTACTCGGCTGATGAATCATTCGCGTCCCCGATAAACGCACGATAGATACATCCAGTCGGAAGCAAAAGCGAAACTGAACATTTCTGAAAGGGTCGATTTTCCGGCCGTAGTTTGCTAGACGCTTTTTACTCGGTTTAACGCGTACTCTCTGTCTACCCTGCGAATCCTGTTTTCTCGAGCACCCTGTATACATCTATTCCCTATGTTGAAAATTTTGGTACTTTATTTGGTACTATTTAAAGACTAAATAACAACAATGTTAAGTACCTCTCTCCTCGTCCGTCGGTCGCACCTTTTTGCACAAATTCTTCCTGTGCTTCCTTTTGCCTTGCGACCAACGAAGCCTGCCATTATCCTTGTCGTTAATCCGGAGAGGGATTTGTATCCGGAGATTTATATTTCTCCTATCATCCTCGATCGCATCGATCTGATGATCGTAGAATTACTGAAGAAGCGATAACGAGAACTCGCTCTCTTATCGAACGAGAGTTTCTCCGATAAAAATGGCGCCCAGCGCTTCTGGAGCGGGAAAGAAAGGACCCCGGGATATACGGTATTCCCGCTGAGACAGGCGAGACGGGCTTAATCCTCAGCGCGCTCTTTCGAGCCGCTGACAAGTTGCGTGTCAATAAGCGTAACGTCAGCGAAGTGCACGAAGACGTGCGGTTTTCTTATCGAAATTTTCGTGCAATAGCGCGCGCTGAGTCGCTGAGTTGCGAAGCGCGACAGAAGAAATCGAGCAGTCATCGCGCTGCGCCGTGGATTCGCTTCTCGGTAGTTCCGCTCTCGCCGCGCCTGGCCGCGCCGTAAATCACGCCGTTTCGCGGAGGAAAGTGGAGTTGATCCTGCGGCGATACCGCGGAGCTCGCCGCGCGACGCAGAGAGACATTTTAATAACACTCGCATTCCTCAGCCCCGTCGCTGTCGCCGAGCGATACAAGCGATAACGGGATATTTAACGGTGTTATCCTAGCGCCCGTAACTTCGATATCACTCAGAAGATAGTGCGACAATTATGTTAGATAAGATTACGTATGCTTTCTTCGAGTGTGCTTCGTCGAGGATCGACGATTGCGTGCTTGCGTAAATAAACCGAGATACAATAAACATGTACATACGTACACACGTAGACACACACACACACAGACGCGCGCGCGCGCGCTCAAGTCGCGTCTACCTCGGCCCGATCGGAGGAGCGCATTGATCGATCGATCGATCGATCGACCAGGTGTCGGGAAAGCGGCAGGAAGAACCGAGCGTTCGTCGCGCGAGTCGTCTGACTCATCGCGAGTGATCGCTTTGCATTTCCAGACGCGGACGGAAGTGAACGTTCTCGAGCGGAAGCAGACGCTTCTTCCAGTTCGCCGGCGTCACTGCGGTCTCCGTTGATCCTGCGCCATCGTCGAGCGGGATTTACGCCGGGATCGCGTCATAATTTATTCGGCGGCCAGAGGAACATGACTGTCCACGATACAATCGCCGACGTTTTTCGCACGGCAGATTCCGAGATATTTCATTTCATGGGATTCATTAGCGAGATTAACTCGTAGCAGTCATAAAAATCAAGAAGCGGAAAATTTCGACGCTCGTCCGATGGCCGCCGCTTTTACGGCGTTTCGTCGCTTCGCGGACAAGCCTCTCCTCGCAGCCGAAGTGCAGCCGAAGCGCTGGAACGAAAAGGGCCGGAGTTGAAGTTCCGCTTGAGGTCGCGACTCGATTGCATTGAACGGTTACATAATGACAATCGGCCTGCTCCCCTCCCCCCTCGTCGAGTTAGATTGATAACGCTGCGATAGCGTTCTTGCGTTCTCTCTCTCTCTCTCTCTCTCTCTCTCTCTCTCTCTCTCTCTCTTCTTCTTCTCCTCCCCTCTTCCTCGGTTTCTCTCTGCTGCTGCGAGGAAGCTCGACGTTTCGAAGCAAATTCTTCAAGTGGATGAACTTTCCGCGGATATATTACGCGCCGGATGTCCAATCGATATCCCAAAATATCCAGCGGGGCTGCAGGCAGCGGCGGCGACGGCACCGGGGGGATACCCCGTACGTGCGCACCGGCCGCCGGCGGTGGTTCGAGCGGCAACGACGGGGGCGATCGATGTGATCCGTGGTGCGTTCAATGCCACTCGGAGAACATTGAATTGTGTTCAGCGAGGAGACAGAGAAGGAGAGTGAGTGAGAGAGAAAGAGGGGGGCATACCCCACGGTCGATGCCTATATAGCCGGCCACGGGACAGACCGTTCCAGTCGTGGTCTCTCGTCTCAGGATTAGCCCGCTCTCGTCTTTTCTTTTCCCTTCTTCCCGCCGATTGATCATCTCGCGCCGGCCAACCTCGACTCTCTCACTCGGCCGCGGAGGACTTCGCCGTAGAGCGATATGCCGACCGCTTGACCGGCCGATCGCAGCCTCGACGAGCCGTCGCGGTACGTAGGAGAGCGCGCGCGCGCGCGCGCGCGCCCGCTGATCGCGCTCGAGACGACCAGAGTCCCTCCGTTATGTTCTCCGGGACGTAGCGGGCCCTCGGCGAGGAGAAGGTCCTCGAGGTCCAAGAGCGCGGTTCTCTCGTGTCCGTTCCGTTAGTCGTCGCTGGACGGCCATCGAGGATTTCGCGCCGTCGTCCAGCATCCATCCCGAAGGCTGGAGCCGAGTTGCAGCGGTTGCAGCGACGCGAGGAAAGCGGTGCCGTCCTTAGCACTCGGAGGAGCCACCTCCGGGATCCGAATCGCCGGCGAGATGCCGCCGCAGGAGAAGTTCTCCACGTCGGCCAACGGGGGCGACCTGGGCTCCAAGGACACGAGCCCCGACGACCTCTCGGTCTCTTGCCGGGACTCGTCGTCCGAGGGCTTCCCCGTGCCCAGCGAGAAATGCGTCAAGACCCGGCGCAATGGTCACCGACCGAGCGACGGCCAGCAGGAGGCTCAAGAGCAGCCCAAGGACATGGACTTTGACGAGCTGCTGCCGCATGTCGGTGAGTTCGGCACCTACCAGAGGATCCTGTTCATCATGATGATCCCGTTCGCCTTCTTCGTCGCCTGGGTGTACTTCTCACAGATCTTCATCACCCTCGTGCCGGAGCAGCATTGGTGCCGCGTACCGGAACTGGAGAACCTCACGGTCGCGGAAAGGTAGGACGCGAGCGAAGGAAAAAAAAACGAGGCAGAAAAAGAATGAAGTAGACTTCTCGCGCGCGGACATGTCCGGAAATCCGCGACCCGTCTCTTCCGGATATCAACCGCGCGCGCGGTCGTATTTTCCGAAGGTAACCCCGCGCGACATTGAGCGCAGCCGAAGAGCCGATCGTGGGTGACCGGCTCGAAATTTCGGCGCTCTATTTTCGACCGACATCTAGAGAGATCCTGGAGGGGGATTGAGTTTGCATAGAAACGAAAGTCCTTCAAAATGGCGGAAAACGCACCATTTGCCACCTGTGAGTTCTCGAGAGAGAACCTCTCGACAAAGCTGTGGATTGAACACGACTAGGAGTAGGCTCACGTAGCCTGAAGATGGAGTCGGGATTTTGAGCTCAATATTCCATTTAACACTAATTTCATACTTTAGCCTACTTAACCCGGGCTCACGAGGGCTCCTCGTGAGAACCTACAAGATTGCGAGTCTCTGCTATTTAGGGCTAAGTGAGTAACTCTATATAAATCTATCATATCATATCATATCATATCACATCATATCATATCTATCATATCGATACAAACTAAATCTTCTATACAAATTCTATACAAACTAAATCTTTGTCCCGAGTTCGAATTTCGATTCTACTCTCGACGTCAATACCCCACTTGACGTTAATCAAATGCTCTCAAGTCTTCCGAGTCGAAATTTTTATCCCGCTTTCGTTCTCGATGCTTTATTTAACGCTAATTTATTACTTCCTATATCAATCAATCTTGTTGATACACTTGTTGTCACGGTTAACCCGCAGTCTTATCGAAGAGTCCACCTGAGAACACTTAACGGTGGCAAACTTTCTGCCATTTTCTGCCACTTAGGGATGCTGAGGATTTTATCTTTAGCGTCAGCAAGTGCAAGATCGAAAGTACGATCAGAACTTCGCCGTTTCACGCGATTCTGCGTATCGTTATCGCGCCGTTTCCACTGTCTTTCCTCATTGCTCGGAAGTCGCTGAATATCTAGGCCGATTCCTCGTGTTAATCTGCCCGCTTCTTACGGAGATCACGGCGCGATCGCGAGTAATTCACGCGCGAGCACAGTTCTGATAAGATACATCAATCTATACAAAAGAATAGCTCGCGTCTCTCTAAGCGCGGCGCAAACATCGCGGCGCGACCGGCCGACAACTTCGAGCGATAACTCTGTACGGCAACTTTAACGCAGACTAAACGGGCTCTGTGTGACGCAACTGTACAAATATACGTAGGTGGTGCCGACAATGGAACGCGACGTGCATTATAGCTCAATGAGGAGATCTGCCGTCGCGCAAAAAAAAAAAAAAGGAAAAAGAATGCGAGACGCGGCAAAGCAGGATGTACAAAAGGGATCGCGCGCGCGCGCGCGTGACACGTCGTCGTCTCTTCACGTCGCGGCACACACACGATTGCGATTGCGTTCTCATGGATACTTATACTTTTTCCCTTCTGCCGACCGTCTCGAAAGGCGAGCAGCGCGCGGAAGCCGAAGGACGATGAAACGATCAGTCAAGGATCGCCGCGTCGGCGGCCCGAGAGAGTTTCGCGACGACCGTCGCGATTGCACCTTTAATCACGCTCGCGTCGGTTATTCCGCTTTAAGAGCGCGTTTGAGAGTGGAATAAATCCTTAACATTCCAATTAACCGGAATACCCAGAAGCGGTGATTCACGACGGTCTGTTGTGTTCCTCCCAGACAGTCCGGTTAGGACACTTCGCGCCGGCGCGGCGCGGCGACGTCAAGTGTCACGCGACGAGCGCGCGCTGAAAATTGCAACTTTTGATTATCCGTCGATTAACCGGCACCAAGCTGAGAAGAGAGTCCTTCGTGGCAAGAATAGCCATTCTCCGAGTTCTGCTTCGACGAATCTCGGAAGTCCTTTCCCCAGCTCGTTACAGCTAAAAAGGTGTAGAAAACAAACAGTGAGCAAACTTAAAATTTTCGAGGCTGCTTTCTCTTCCCCCAGAGATCTTCAATTTCGCTCATACGAAGATGAGCTCATTTTCAAGACATCGACGCAGTGAAGACTCATTGCTCTCCGAGGCGAAAATGGTGATGACAGAGAAAAAGGAAAGAGAAGGAGCACTTCCTTACTCCCACTTGAAACGTCGTTTTGTGCGTAGTCTTTAGGACCTTCTTTTGAAAAAAAAAAAATCTATAAGGCGTTCAATTCCAAAGTCTTGCACCAATATATCTATCTATGTTTCAGCTATATACGGTAATTTCTGCACATTGTTACCTTCAATGTCAACGAGCTCCCAAATGAAAAGGCATTTTGAATATTCCTCTTCCCCGGAAAGCGGAAGAGAGCCATTCCGGCGGAAAACCGAGCATTCCGTTCTAAAATCTCATTGAGATCTTAGCGGAGGCAAAACTATTTGGCGCGACCCTTCAAATGGAAATCTCCTTCAACGATGCATCAGACGTAGCAGAGCCGCACCGTACCGTCGGTAACCGCGGTACAAATTAAACGCAAACGCAAAAGCGGCGGCACCGATGCGGCATGTTTCGCTCTCGTACGATTTACACTTTTCAGCGCCACCATTTTAAATATGCAAATCTAATCGCGGCAGAGCAACGACGTAACCAACAACGCTAATGACTCACAGAGGAGCGTTCCTAACGATCTATTCTAACGATCCACTCGGCACGGACTGTATACTTCGCGTGTGTTTCGATAAAAAATGAAACGACACGGCCAAGCGGTGTGCGCTTACGAAGCTGCTATTCTCGACCAGTCGATCCTCGCCGACGTTTTTCACACCGTCCTCGTCGTGGCCGCGGCGGCGGGACGGGATCATCGCGATTTTTCGTGTCCGCGAGAAACGGCTGGAATCTAGAAAGCCGCGGGAGAAGAGAGATTAGCGCGCCGGCCAGCGCCGGCGAAAGTACGAAAACGCGACGCGACGAGGCCTTGCGCGCGGCTGCGATTCGATTGCGCTTCGGTTCGACGAGGCCCGCGAACGAGATTAGTAATCGCGTTCAGGTTAATAGTCTCTGACGTCAGCGCAATGGCAAATAAACGACCGGTTGATACCGGCTCTTTCGGGGAGGCCTGAGTAAAATGTAAGGAACAATGCGTTTTTAGATCGTCGTCGTCGTATCGGCGATCTGTCGCAGCTTTTATCTGACAGCAACTCTGCGGGGCGATCCGCCGTCTCTTCCGCGGCGGATCAATCGTCGCTTCGACGAGGCCGCTGTAAAAACACTCATACTTAGCGACTCTGACACAGGGCATTAATGATTCTAATTAGCTTAGCGCTGCAATGTCGTTAAAGATTTTCTCGCGTGAATGTGCGTCGTCGTGCTGAGCGCGCTCGCGCGAAATTTTCTACCGGGCCGTGTTTTCCATCCCGCGCGGACGCTTCGCGACATTCGCCGGCGAGAGATCGTCTCGATCGCGACGGCCGCGGACGGAATTTCGCCGCGCTCGCGTGAATGCATTATCCTGTACTATCGCGGATAATTATTCGGCCACTGATAAATATATCCCGTGTCTCGGTGCACGCTCAGCTGCGCGTTCGGCCGCCCGTAGACCGGCTGCGAGTATTCGTGGATAATGAATAATGAATTTGCTCGAAACCTTCGTATGAGCAATGAGAGCGTGAACGTGAAAAATACTCGTGTAAACCTTTCGACATAACGTCGCGCTAACGCCACGCTGATTGCACGTAAGCGACAAGAAACGGATACCTTGTATAGGATGTGACACTGCGATGGGTATTTCTCTCTCTCTCTCTCTCTCTCTCTCTCTCTCTCTCTCTCTCTCTCTCTCTCTCTCTCTCTTTCTCTCTACACTATACTCTGTATAATTGTACGATTACCACAGCAGCAGCGACGGGACAATATGCGCAGGAGTTATTTGAAAGATGCTATCGCGCTCGCTCAGACATGGCACGCAGAAGATATAAGGAAAATAATTTCCCGCTATCTCAGATATTGTGTGAAAGTCACAAACGACAAGTACACTCTCGAGCTCCTCGCGGGAATTGTTCGATCGCGAAATTCGAGAATTCGGTAAATCTTGAAATTCGCCTCGCGGGACCAAGCCAAGGATCAGATTTTCGACGTCTCAGAGCGACGAAATGTACGCCTCAATCTCACAGAGAGAAAAGTCGTAAATTTTCTCGAGACGTTGGCAATTGCGATAACGTTTTCGATAAAGATACGTAAATGTATGTAAAAATGTATATATCGGACTTTTCGTATCGGCAGTTGTTTGCGCGTCGCCAATTGCAGAATTCGAAAATTATCATAAACACGTACCTTGATATTTACCTCATAAAGATAAAGATAGATTAGGAAATCGACATTTACGATTAGAAAATATTGACGCTTATGAATCATACGCTTTTGAAATGTACGCGCAAGTCTATTTTCTTCCTCGCGAAGATGCTGCTGTATACATAAATCGTAAACTCACGCAGGCCGCCGACAAAGAGAATAATTTCACGCTACTTCAGATACGGAAATGTACATAAATGCATTTCCCGGAACGATAATCATTCGCGTCGCCAGTTGGAAAATTTGAGAATTGTCATAGACGTACCTTCAAATCCCGCGAGATCAAGCCAATAAATCGCACTGACGATGTCGATGTCCCAAGTGCCGAAATATAATATAATCATAAGTTTATCCTTCCTCCTCGCAGAGCCGCTTCTGCCTGCGAAGAAGTCGCAAATTTAGGCTGGATTCACACTGTCTAGTCGACGGCAAAACTCCGTCAATTCTCCGTCAAAACATTCTTCGATGCCTTTCCGTTGGAGTATTTACGGTACGCATCATCGTCTCAGCTTAACCATATTTATCAAAAAAATTAGACGGAAGAGATTGACGTGGGTCTGTCGCCGTCTGTCGACGGACGATATGAGTCCAGCTTTAAGCAGGACGCCGATGAAGGAAATAATTTCGCGCTATTGCAACTGCGTAAACGCACATATTAAACTTTTCGCACAGACAATGATCGACGTGAGATTCGAAAATTATCGTTTACGCGCCTTCAAATTCGCCCCGACAGAATTAAATCGGAAAATCACTATCGACGCTTATGAATCGTACGTGCTGAAATGTATGTTTAAGTTTGTTTTTCTTCTCTTGACGGAGACTCTTCTGCAAGACAGAAATCGCGGGTTTGCACGATCCGACACCGTAACTAAATACTCAATCGCAGTTACCGACTCGTCAGAATGTGCGCGAAGTGCACGTTCGTGCGCGCGTATCGAGGATGAAAAATGTCGTACGTGTATTGCAATGCGGTATCGAATCGGCGTCCGAGCTCGAGCGCGTAAGTCTTGCGTAAAGGTCAGATTGCGTGCGTTATTAAGCGAAGATAATTGAAGATCTTTATCATGCAGCACGCTTGGTCTTAATTGCCCGTTTGCGTCTGCATTTTTCGATTTCCCGTCGGGATGCTCCCTCCCCTTGACATTTATCGAGTCGATGCTTGACATTTATTTATTTACGGATAGCCCCTTACTTATAAATAAATAAGCGCACATATAAGCGGATATCTCTTCAATTATAAATAAATAAATAAATATATGTGCGCGTATGTATACGTATATTTTTATTTATTTATGTATATACACATACACACATTCTGTTTATCTCTTATCGGGAACTTTTTTTCTTCCTATTATACCCCGCTCGAGCCCGTATAGACATTTTTAGCCCTGTTTGTCTTTCAGGATCGCGTTGGCGATACCGCCCGACGAGCACGGCTATTCGAGATGCGAGATGTACGACGTGAATTACACGGAGCTGCTGTTAAACGGAACCCGCGAGGCCGACCCGAGCTGGCGGACGAAGGGTTGCACGCACGGCTGGGAGTTTAATTTTACCGACATCCCCTATGAGACCGTGGCGACCGAGGTAAGGGGGCAGGGAAAATCGTGGAGGTGACCGTACCGACGGAAGCGAGGGTCAAGCGAGAGTGTTCGACCGCGAGGAAGCTTCCGGCCCACGCGATTTTCCCAATCGAGCGCGTTCGCCGCGTTATTACGATATCTCAAGGTCACTCGGATGCAAGGCACGCAGGAAACAAGCGGCCAGACCCCCGCGACGTCCGGCTAATGGCCGAAAGGACGCTAGTCCTTCTGGCAACAGGTGTTCACTCGTTCGCTAGACTGTCCGAGCACATTTTTCCCGATGAAGGCAGAAGTGAGGCAAATGATCACTGGACTGTGAGTCACTTCTTTACGGGCTTGTGTGTAGTAATCGCGTGACTTGAATAGACTTGAACGGACTGAGCGCTCGCAGCGAGAAGCTGCGAGGACTACTTGAAAAGGACGGCTTGCGCCACGGGCGTTCGATCCTTACCTAGCTCGACTATTGCCGCGTCGAAGAAAGCTGGACGAAGGTAGAATACCTGAGGACAGTGAAGGAGAATGCAGCTGCTCTTTATATATTTTCTTTTAATTGCAGCTTGACGACTTCAGCTGAGAAATGATTGTTCTCACCTGTGAACTCAAATGATAATTATTTCGGGAGATTGCGTGTTATAAGTAGGATTGATTTGTTTCTCTTTTTTTTTTATACTCGAATACCCAGGAGAGCCCCTCCCCCCCCCCGTTCAACGAGTTTTGCAAACGAGTGCACGCTGTCAATGTGCCAAATGTTTTCACTGTGCACGCGCCGTTACGCGGCTCGAAGCCGCGTGAACACGTGCGGCTAAAACGTCACGTGTAAACGGATGCTGAAATGTCGCGATGTAAGGACACATTTTATTGCAACTCTCAGACGCGATTGCGGCATCGAATTATTAAGCAACAGCCGATATTCGTTAACTCGTGCGGTCTACTGCTCGCCAATTGGCAGCGTCACATTCGAAACTGGTTCGGAGAGAGTCGATCCCTCTTTCCTCGCGTTGGATCTTCGAGGCCTCGTCGAGTGCCTCGCGACAAGGATAATTTCTCTTTCAATGTTCGCACATAAACAAATTGACTGTTTTATATTATTAGGTGAGAATGTCATCCGTTTCTCGGATGAACGGTGATGGTCGTGTTAATAATTTTATATAAACCCTTTGACTGGCAAGCTGAAATTCGCAAAAGTGCTCAAGTTGGCAGAAAGAAAATAGACTTTTTAAATAATAAAGTAATGTTGTTAAAATTTTCCAGGTATTTTGTGGACACTGTTTACGAATATGAAGTAAAAATTTTTCAAATACAAAATAGCCGACCCGACATCCGACGGCCAAAATCATAATTTTATTTCATTAAGATAAGACTGGACATCTGTTATGAGAAAAGTTAAATAGAGAAAATGCAGAATAATTTGATCTCAAATTTCAAGCAATGGAAGATAACGAATAAATATAGATATAAAATTTTGAAATTGAATAAGTAGACAATGAAAAACCGTTGAAAAGCCAAATTTACGAATATTGAACCATGAAAAAATATCAAACGGCAATGTTGCGTTTCCCAGTTTGGACCACTCTTTGCGAATGCGTTTCCGCCGATTAAGGGACCCGCGACGAGATACTTACAGCGCGCACCCCTCGCCGGGGTGGTCGCTCTCACCCGGCGAGTGACGAGAAATCGCACATGTCGATGCGCGAGAAATAAATTATTCGATCTTAGATCTCCGTTGCAGCTGGGATGGGTGTGCGAGAACAGCGCGCTGCCCACCACGGCCCAGAGCGTCTTCTTCGTCGGCGCGATCTTCGGCGGCCTGATCTTCGGATGGATCGCCGACAGGTACGGCAGGATACCGGCGCTGGTGGGTGCCAACGTCACCGGGTTCCTGGCCGGCGTAGCGACCGTGCTGGCCGGCAGTTTCTGGGAGTTTGCGTTGTGCCGATTCTTCGTGGGCTTCGCCTTCGATAATTGCTTCACTATGATGTATATATTAGGTGTGTATACAATGTATTCACGGCTGCGCGTAATGCAATCGGCTCTGGGTCGGTTCGCTTTAGATGCTCTATTAATTAACTTTCGTTGACTTTCACGCTAATTTGACCTGATTGCTTCGACGCTCGAATCTCAAGCTTGAATCGCTAAACGTAAGCACAAGGTAAACAAGTGCAAATCGCGATGCATATTTTCGCTAGCTCCTTTCTTGGATTCTACGTTACCTGTCGCTTGAACATTTGATTTTTTACGTGCAGTCATTTGCGTCACCGGTCGCATGTGAGTTAATCGTGCGCGTAATCAGTCGCGTTTCGTACGTAAATCGGTTACAAGTAAGTTAGTTGTATATAATCAGTTACGATTTTTACATAAATTAATGAGCGTCGATTACCGCTGATCCGGCCGTAGCGGCCGATATGTTAATTTCTATTTAATGTCTCCCCCCCCCTCTCTCTCTCTCTCTCTCTTCAAATCGCCGCACGTCAATCACGAGGTACCGTTTCTAGCTTTCTTTTCGCGTTTTGCTCCCACGATATCGGAACGCCATCGCGACGATCTCCCGTTCGACCGCGACTCGCCATCGCCCGAAGCGACGGGAAGCAATTGAAAAGACTGAACGGGCCGCGAAAGGAACAGGGCCCACGGCTTCGCGCCATCGATCATCGCCGTGGGTCCCACATTCGCGAATAATACCAGTGACAATGACCTCGTTGATCTCGAGCGAGCGACTGCTCGTTAACGCGAGCCAGTATGCGGATACTCGATTCGCTGGATTCTGCAGATTTATTCCCGCGGGGAGTACATTCAACGATCTCCGATCGCGCGCGTTAATTAATTAATTAATTAACGGCGGGGAGCCGGGGAAGCGAATATCGAGCCGGCATTGCTACTGTCACTCACGATCAGCCCGCTCTCGCTCGATCGCGATCGGCGACACAATAGCGTCGTGTCGACCATTAATCAGCGCGCTTGATTAGCGATCGGTTATCTAACGGCGGCCGCCGTCAAACAGGATTGCAGATCGATGGCTTCGCCGATCAGGAGCGGCAGGTCTCGGCGATTTTCGATCAACTTTTCTGCTGCGGCCGCCGTACACCGCGTGTCGCTCGTTAGCGAGCGCTAATTAGCGGCTTACTCGCACGTCGAGGCACGCTTCTTCCCATATTTCGCCTTCAGACGCGAAACAATGAGTGCCGCAATTGTCCCCTCGTTCCCTCGTCAGCGTATCGTCTCGCATCGACCTTAACCCCGTCGGCTATCGCGATTCCTGCGTTATTCCGTCGCGTTACAATGAGCGTACGCGCACGTCACGAAAGCGCGGAGAACTCGGAGACTCGGAATCGCGATGACGCGGAGATTTAAACGCCGAGGAGATTTAATCTCGCGGCTCCTAATTGGTCCCTCCTTGCACAACCAACGGTTGTTGAATTCAATTGTCGAGCGCCGGCCTTGGCGATAGATCGGCGATCTGGTCCGAGTGATTGTGTTGTCGGCCCCGCCGGCCAGTTTTCGAGTATCCGATCGAGTCACGGCCGATTCCGATCTCCGGATTCAGCTTTCAGGTCGAGCTCGCCCTGAAGGCTTTGACTCACGGAGTCACGGTTATTGCACCCGCGTCTCGCCAGTTCCGTTTCGCCGATTTCCGCCGCTGAGAAGTGTGGCCAATGTCGCGCGCGCGCGCGCGCGAGAGAGAGAGAGAGAGAGAGAGAGAGAGAGAGAGAGAGAGAGATATGCACATGCCGTTATTGAATTAAATGAAGGGAGCGCGCGCGCAGCTTGCGGCGGAATTATTCCGTTTGACTGGCCCCACATTCGCTGACATTTCATCGGGCCCCGTTAACTGCCCCGCGGGGAAGGGCGAGGGGGGTGCTCGCGCGATATTATCTCCAATCATTCTTTCCGGCCGCGTGACAACAACTGACATATCGTTAGCTTTACGCACAGGTACTGTCTCGCGCTCCTTCAACGGGGAATTATCGAAAGGCTTGTGTCTCTCCGACACTCTCTTTGTTCTCTTTTCTTTTCTTCTTGTCGTTTTTGCCACCTCGCGGTGATTAGTGTCCGTAGAAAGATCAACGATCGGGCATGTCGCTCGTGCGAGAACGGTACAGGCGTTTTTCTTCTTTCTTTTTGTACGGAACGACTCGCGCTTTGCAGTTTCCAGCATGAATCGGTTTCCATCGCAGCGTAGCCTTGCGGCTCTGTCGTTGAATATGCAGAAGATCGGATCATTTTACGCTTCACAGGTGGATGGTAGCGTGCCGAGTGGAAAAATGACCGTTCACCGATCTAATTGCGATACGTACCGCGGCGGTCTTCGTAGCAACAGGAAGCGTGCGGGATGATAAGCGGCCGTTATTGCGACACCGTGAGCAGCCGTATCATCGCTTAAGCAGCGGAGTTTGCGCTGGTCATTACGCACTGCTCGCTAACGGGCATTACTTAAAATCACGGGAAAGCCCCGGCGAGCTCCTCGGTTTCGGTCGCGGGCGAGCGCGAGGCCGCGAGAGAGCAGGATGCCGCGACCTCGGCGCGAATAATTCGAGATCGTCGGAGCTATCGAGGCGAGACACTCGCTTGCCAGGCCGATGCTTGAGATTACGAGTCTTCATCGAGCCCAAATCACGGGAATCGTGCCGGCTAAATTAATTAATCAAGCCCCGCGGTCGCTCCACAGTCGTGCCTTCGACAGCCGAGGAAGCGGACAATGGGGCTTCCTTGGCGGGGGAGAAGGATCTCAGTTTCGCCGGGACGAAAATAAATCCGATTGCACGAACGAATTGTTTCTTTTTTTTCTGCGCGTGGGAAACATTGTTTGCGCAACCGGATGGGGACCGGACGAAAATTCCCCTCGATGAGGGGAAATGATGTCTTTCTCTTTCCGCTATATGATATAGTCTAGTTTCAGGAAAATATTGTGGAAAGAAAGACAATTTTCATGTAATTTTTTTCTAAGTCGATAAGGAAAAACGATGTCTCAGTCTTTCCGCCACGATATAGTCTAGTTTCAGGAAAATTATGAATACCAAAACTCGTTTGAGATAACTGAACGCGATTAGTCGCGTAAAAGTCCCCTCTACACTGATAGAAAAATATAGTTTAATTAATTATAATCTCACTATATTGTACAGTTCATTTTGGCGTCAACGATATTTTTATAGTTCGTGGAACCTGCAAAATATAGTAGAATAAACACAAATATATAGTCAATGATTGTCTTAAATAATAATTGTTTAGTTACTTTTGCCACATATATGGTAATTTCTCATTCACAAATATAGTGAGATTTAATATTCATATAGTTACATCTGTCATCACTTAGCAAATATTCTGGTAATACGTATTGACTACGTAAAAGAGTTACTTTACCTACCATTTTATATTTGTATCCATACAATAATTTTAGTTTAACTTGCTATAATTCTTAGTAAAAATATTATATGGTTGGTTATACCATGCCTATATCGTATTTACTGTCGTTATTACCGATACTATGGTAATACACCATATAGTTACTATAAATATGATATTTCGGACTATAATTTAGTTACTATATCATTATAGTTCCAAATATCATACACTTTTCTCGCAGTGTAGAGATCTTGCCACTTGGTTCTTGTTCTTCCCAGGCAATAACGGACAGTTTAGTCGCACTGAGCGAAAATTCGTTGCGATAATTCATGAATGAAGGAGAAAGTCTCCGTTCTTCCGCTAATCTGTCCTTATCTCTCTTTTCAGTATTGGAATACGTGGGACCAAAGTGGCGCACTTTCGTGGCGAACATGTCGATCGCCCTCTTCTTCACGTTCGCCGCCTGCATCTTGCCGTGGATCGCGTACTTTCTGGCCGACTGGAGGATGACGTGCATCACCATTTCCGTCCCTCTAGTTCTGGCGGTAGCGGCGCCCTGGTTGGTGCCGGAGAGCGCGAGGTGGCTCGTCAGCCAGGGTCAGGTGGACAAGGCCATCGAGATCCTCGGTAAATTCGAACGCATCAACGGCACGAAGGTGCCGGAGAACGTGTACCAGCATTTCCGTGTAAGACTCGTTTTTGCCTCCGTCGTTTTGCCTCCGTTAGCGAGATTCGCTCAGATTAGTCTCGACACGTTGAGTTCGCCGGTCGTGCGAAAGATTCATGGCTCAAACAACTTGTCTGTCTTTCTTCGTTCGCGCGAAACAGGAGACCTGCGCCAGGGTGTGCAAGGAGCAGGAGGCGGACAAAACCTACTCCGTGCTGGACCTCTTCAGGAGCCCGCGTCTGCGAAACATCACGATCCTCCTCATTTTTATCTGGTGAGTATCGCCACATCGCACAACGAGTAAAAAACTCGTGTAAAAAAATCGAATCGTGTCGAGAGAAAAAAAAAAAGCATGAGAATATTCGCGATGACTGTGCGAAATGCTGTGTAAAGTAAAGTCCTTGACACGTATTGACACCCGGCGCAGGATGGCGATATCGTTGGTATTCGACGGTCACGTAAGAAACGTGAATAATCTCGGGCTCGATGTCTTCATGACGTTCACCATCGCGGCGGCGACCGAACTACCCGCCGACACGTTCCTCACCCTCGTTCTCGACCGCTGGGGCAGGAGATGGTTGGCCTGCGGCACCATGGTTATCTCCGGGATTTTCAGCATCTGGGCCAGCGCGGTTACGAACAGTGAGTTCGTCTCATTCATCTTGTCATCGGAGTGCAATTGGAAGATGCATCTGTAATATAACACGTGGGCTCTTCTTCCTTCGGCCGGCTGTTTCAGACATTTACTCGGCCACCTTGGCGATAATCGGTAGATTCTGGGTGAACATTTCGTACAACATCGGTCTCCAGTACGCGGCCGAGGTGCTGCCGACGGTGGTGAGGGCGCAGGGGGTCGCCTTGATCCACATCATGGGATACGTCGCCAGCATTCTCGCGCCCTTCGTCGTTTACCTGGACATCGTCTCGTCCTTTCTGCCACTGCTGGTCCTCGGCACCATGGGCATCCTGGGCGGCCTCCTGACGCTGTTCCTGCCGGAGACGCTCGACAAGGACTTGCCGCAAACCTTGCAGGACGGCGAAGACTTCGGGAAGGATCAGAAGATGTGGGACATGCCGTGCTTCTCCAAGTAAGCATCGAGAATGCTGTTTCCTTTTTTTCTCACTTTCTTCAAGCGAGTGAAGCTTCACACCTCTCGTTAACTCATTCTTCTTCTCTCAAATATGATTTTCCTTTTACTCTTTTTGCTCGATACTCTTCTTGCTTGAGACACGTCACACACGGCAATTTGTCCATTTTCTACTACTTGGAAACGCCGAGTAGGACTTGAATTTCTATATAAATGAAACTTCCATTCAGAATCTGTAGAGATGCTGGAAAAGTTTCGGCGAAGAACAGGCACAAATTGCGACCGGCCGACAAATGTCGACTCGGTTAGCTTGTCGACCCAGCGTGACTACTGCCTCTTTCAAACGTAGTTCGACTTTAAGCCCCCCCGTCGAATTTCGCCGTAATCGCATTCGCATCGTTTCCTCAGGAAAGCCGCTGACGCGGAGGCACCGCCTGTGGCGATCTTCCGGTCCTTCGAGCGCAGCAGCCTGCGGAACTCGATGAGGGCGTCCACGCGCGGCGAGACCCTGAGGAGCAGCATGATACAGAGATCGAGCATCCGGTCGCGCAAGGGCGTCCCTGGCCCGGAAAAGCCTGCGGAGACGGAAAAGCCTGCGGAAGGTGATTGAACGCAACTCCACACGCAGCCTGTTCTTCCCGAATAATCGGGCGTATTCCCCGGCGGCACCGTCCACCGCCCTTCCCAGAATCCAGTGTGTGATAGCGGAGCTACCAGAATCAAATTATAGTCGACGCATATATCTCAGTCGATCTTCCGATGTAGCGCGCCCTTTAGCTTGTCCGTGAAAAAGAAAACAAGAATAGAAAAGAGACGAGGCGCTCGCTCTCCCGAAGCGTGAGCTCCGTACGGCTCGCTCTCGCGATAGAGCGACCTCGCGCGATTAGCAATAATAATGTGTCAAATTCTGTATGTGTGACGTCTGTGAAATCCGACTTGGATTTCGAGTAAAGTTACTTGGAGATTTTACGGGCAGTCGTGCAGTATTAACGTATAAAGAGAAAGAGAGACGGCAGAGGGAGAGTGATGTGCAGGTTCTTTTCCTCACTAGAGCGTGTTCTTCTCCCTCGTTTGCATTTCAAAGTAGAGGCAAGAGAAACTCGTTTGCACGTGGAGGTGTGCACGTCGAGAGACACGCGAGCGTTCGTTTCTTGCGAAAACGTGTCCTTCGACGGAAGTGTCCGAGCTTCGAATGTGTGCCAATTCGGGCCCGAGCTAATCACGTAGCTACGAAAGACTTGTCTCAAGTATTGCTCACGTACATACGTATATAGAGTACAATGTAGGTATCCGAAATCAAATTTTAAGTTACCTTGAGGAACGCGTGTCGAATTTTCGTGCGCTGTCTCTTCGTCGCGAACAAAATTCTCCGAATCCGAAAGCGTCGACCCCGCGTCGAGAGCTGTGAAATTCACTTTCGCACACGCTTTGGATTTGTACATACAGTATTTTATAATACAAATAAGCTAAGGACGGTATGAAAAAAGAAGTACTTTGTATATCCCATTAATGCGTGTTAATAAACGTACGAATTATCGAGGATAAAGTGAATGTCCCAATTAGTGACAACCGCTCATTCGTTTTCCTTAATAAACCGGTTAGTGCGGGTTCATATTTTTTATGTATTATTCTAAACATGTGTATTCTGTTGTTCAAAATTTTGGATTCAGTCGTCGTCGGTTAACATAACAAGTCTCGAATAAAATTAAAAGCCCTCTCGTACTTTGTCGAAAGTGAACTGTTATGTTACTAAATGATACATTTCAGGCATTTCTGAAGACACATCATAAACAGATTAAAGGAACTTTCCATAAATTAATATATATAAAGCGCAATTAAAGTCTTAAAAGTTTTCGGGCTTTTCAACGAAATCCACTTTGTGTATTTAGCTTAAGCCGTATATATCATTAATTTATCAATTATTACTGTTATTAAAACCTTGCGACTGCGGCGCGCTCTAACAAAAAACCATCAGCATTGCGCGGGAGCGCAACGTCGCAATCAGAAACACGAACATCGTTTATGTAAGCGCGCGAGGTGTTTATTTATGAATGAAACAAAAAGATAATAAAAAATAAGGTAATAAAACTTGACATTGCTGATAAAATACAGTGCTATACCAGTTTAGTAACAACAGCAAATGTGTGTTGTAGTGAGAAAAATTCGTTAAAAGTATATGTACGCCTTTCGCAGTCAAAGGGTTAATTTATTTTCACAATAAGGCTCTTTGAGAGGGGAGGGGAAGACGATTCTCTAAATGGAGCATTACCTAAGATCAATCAAACAGAGACAAACAGGTATACGAGCCACGGCAGGTCAGTTTTCAGCAAAGCGGTCGCAGCGGTCTTTTTAGCAGAGCGGTCCGTTGAGGATGCAATTACCGTTGAACGGTAAGCTATCGGCGACACTTCTAATCGCGTTACCGTGGATAAAAGAGAAGTTGCAAAGCGCAAGGGCGTTGCAGTTGAAAAAAATTTCGCGTACCGCCCGTCTGTGCGCGTTGACGTTCGACCGACGCAGATTTGCTGCTTAGCGTCGAGTGTAATGAGAGATCCAACGCAGACCTTGGTATTATTAATAAGCGACCGTATTATTGCAACATACGTCATCTGACTTGTCTTGTTCGCGTGTACAGCTCGGCGATTCCTTTGAATCACGATCAGCTTCTTTATCCCCAGAGACGGCTAATCGCACACCTCGCGACGAACGACTGAAACGCGCTCGACGACCGTCTCTCTCTCGTCTCTCGCGTTCGCGTTGATAGACTCTCTCCCTCGTGTCCAACCATCCAACTTGAAATTTTTATGCCACTTTCGACCGCGTTCGTATTCCATTTTGCGTTAACTTAACGCTCCGAAGTCTATATGAACTACATTTTGCGCGTATCTTCGACCTACAGCACTTTCGAGGTTTAACAAAAAAAGGTGTCGAGGGCACCTTCGTTTCTGCAAATTAAATCTCCCTCCCTATAAATTAAATCTGCATCCCGAGTTTTGATAATTTTCATCTCAATTCCATTTAACGTTATTCTGTTAATCTAAAGCCTTCTTCTCATCAACTTATTTTAATTGCACTTTACTTTCAGCTTTGCCGAAGGTCCTGTTAAAAGTCCCTACAATTTCTACATTTTCTGCCACTTGGAGGAGCTGAGCAGGATTTCAGTTTCTACATAAATTAAATCTTCATACTGAAATCTCCTCCGGAATCTAGATTTTGAATCTAGACAATTGAGGTCGAAAGCAGACTTCTCAAATTTGGGCTCGGGCAATGTCAGGATTGGAGGCTTCGCGGAAAGTCGTGATCTCTCTCGCTCTACTTGCACCTCGCGATGCTGAGACCGATGAGAATAATTACACAATACGGTCTCGTGTTTGCGGATGATAAAATATCGGTGATTAAATTGCTAATTAAAATGATCCGCCAATTATCGCAATAGGAAAATAACACGTGGACTTTGCGGGACGCGATGAGTGCGATATTTTCTATCTCTCGGCTTATCTCTCGAGTCCTCGTAATTTTCTCGATAATATTATTGCAGTAGAAAATTGCCGCCTGTTTAGGAGACACGCGTTAGTACGCGACTGCGACGTTCTCATACATACTTTCCTCGCAATTTCACCACGAAGTGGGGCTGTCCGCGTCGCCCTCTCGCACGCACGTCACGCGACGTAGTGAAATCGTATTGAACGACCGGCGTTTAACGTCGTATTGCGGAAAACGACGCGATTATCGACCTTCTCTCGCGTCGTCTATTTCTGGCGCGCGAGTTTGGCTCGTTCCAATCGCGTGTCGGATAAACCGCAAACCCGCGGTATAGAAGTCGCAATAAAGAGCAAGAGGGGGGGAGGGAGAGGGAGACCGATGACAACCGGCTTATGTGAATGACGTACGAAACAGTTTCGACTCGCAGAAGAAGTCTCATCACACACGAGAAGACGGTCGCGCGCGCGGTCACCCCGCGAGCATCCTCCGACGACAAAAAGGAAAATAGGAAAGAGACGATAGCGATCGGACGATCGATTAATCCTGCCCGACATTTATTATTCATATCGCGTGATTCGGTGCGAAGTCCTGAACCGCCGCGCCGCGCTGCGCCGCTCCCGGCTTTGACGCCGGCTCTAGTCGTCTAACCGCGGCGTCTCGCGACTTAGGCGACGTGTCGCACCCTGAGGAGATCGATTTCTCCAGCACAATCGATTGATCCCGAGATCCCGAAGTGTCATGTGAGACGAACCTGCCGGACTTGCGCGAGCGTAGATCCGTAACGCGGATCGAACGCGGCGCGGCGCGGCGAGGTGCCAATTTTCCTCAAGTGCGCGAGTGGCGAATTTGCATACGACTCCGGCGCGGCGGGAACGAAAAACTTGTACGTGTCCGTGTCGGCGAGTGAATTTGGCGAACCCATTTGGACGAACGGGTTTCTCATGCTGGTCAACGGAAGAGGTAGGTTCGCATATATTTGTGTGTGTGTGTGTGTGTGTGTGTCTGTTTGTAATGGTACGCGTTGAAAAAGCATTTTTAATTTCTTGATTCACCTTCGTCTTGCTTCCAATATAACACATTCACCAAGTTGTCGAATCTATCGACGACTGTCGAGCTATCATCGATTTTGGAATGTCCACGCGAAATTTCCGAGATATCTCGTCTCGTTTGCTTCGCCTCGAGAATTATGATTTTTTCTGGAAAAGTTTGCATCTCGCTCGAAGACATTTCATTGCGGAGACATTTCATTCCCGCTCTTCTTTATTTCCATCATCTTGCGAGTTGACGTCGATCGTTGAAGTCGATAATATATCATCTCGCGGGATACCGTCGCGTTTGACTCGAGGCTTCCTTCGAGAGATCAGACGAGTTTCGTTTGAAACACTCCTTAATTTCACCTCGGAGAAAAAACTCAAGCTTTTTCCCTTCCTTCCTTGACCACTGCTTTACTTGTATTACGCACATGCCATTTCGTGTGTGCAAAATTACCAATGATTATCGAGCTATTGTCAAGTTGGAAGTCGATAAGAACGCCATGTCACCGCCGCCGGGAACGTATACACACGCACACGCACACGCACACGCACACGCACACACCACACTACGGCAAATATATCGCGTTCCGTGCCGGGGGGCTCGTATATCAACGGTGCTCCATCGGGTTTCCTCTTCACACAAAGCGTTGTGCCTTGCGACAGAGGACCTCGTCATCATCAACGTCGTCGCTTAAAGTCGTTGAGGTGCCGCAGTGGTAGCGCATCGTCGATCGATTCGCGACCCCCCGGTGCCTCCGATAGTTGAATACCGGACACCGTCCTGGAGTCGTCATTCGCCGAAGCCACTAAGCCGCTACGTTTCTCATTTGCCAGCATTCGTAACTAGCTCGCAATATCATTCCTTACGCCACTTTCTTCCTCGTGCCGGTTAGTGCGACGGTGGCCTCTCTCGTAATATCATTCTTCCGTGACGCCGACGCCGACGTTGCCGCGAGTGACACGGGGATACGGCTGAGAAACCGAGCGACGACGAAGGTGTGAGTATTATTGTTTCTCCCGTGATTTTTCCTGGGAAAAATTATCACTTAAACAGGATAAAATTATCATACGGAACTGTCTGATAGTTCCTCGTGAGCGAGTCCTTTCACTCTTCGTCTCCTCCGTCGCCGCGAAGGGGGCGAGAAACGCGGATCGCGAGATCGTCGGTCGCCAGCTGCCGTTGACGCTTCGATTTGACTTTTAATAAACTTTGAGCTTTAATGAACTTTTTTAACTTGTCACATGCACTTGGTTACGACGTTTTGCACGTAAGTTGGCCAGACACTGGTCGCACCGGTGAGTGTCAACCATGACAGGCAACGTATCGTGCGGCCTCGCACGATATTCGGCCGATTGAAAGTGGAGAGCAAGTTTGAAATACGAATTATCGCAGGCGGTATCAGCGGCCAACTTCGCGGAAAGTGCTCAAACACGCGAAATCTCTGTATATTGAGGAAAGGTTAACGATACGCGCGGAGCGATGGCCGACCTGACCGCGCGCGCGCGCGCGAGCGTTTTTAATTTGTTTAAACAAAATGCGACATTGAGTTACCGGCCACGGTTACGTATGTACGTTCCGTCATTGAGACTATGGAATCATTCCATGGATGACGGCCTTCGTGAAAGACCTCTGTTAATTAACCTTAGTAGATAGCCGATTGAACGTCGTAATATGAGTGGAAACACGCTTATCGAAAACATCTCAAGTGTTCTCAGCTCATCCTCTATCTGCCATTTAGACGCATGTTGTACTTTTCGTCACTGTACATACGCGAGCTTATCAGCCACGCAAGCAGGCTGAGTAATGAACTTAACATCAGACGCTGAAAATTGGTCAACCGCGCGAGCGGCGAGCGTGTGCACATCAAAAGCGGCCGTAACAATCTTGCAGTTATTGCCTCCTTGTCGGATGGGCAAATATTTTCAGCGGATTTATCAAGCGCGCCGAGTCACTTCGGCGCGATGCACGAGCGGCGAGCGTCGTCAGTGACCCTTAACTCTACTTTCGATATCTCGCCGTTCCTTGAGTGAGCGTCGACTTTACGCGCGTTCCTCCCGCGAAGCACCCGTTGATACTTGCAAACTGCAAATACATGCCGCGAATGAGATATTTTCGTCTCGCGGGAATAAAGGAACTGACTCGTTGATAAAAACGACAAAAAGATGTCGGTCACCCATTTCGGTCACGCGCGAGAACGTACGAGGATGAGAAACGCGCGTTGCGATATCGCTATATAATCAATGCAATATAATCGTTATATAATAATCCTTTTGTGTGATCTCTCTCTCTCTCTCTTTCTCTCTCTCTCTCTCTCTCTGAGAGATTTTTGAGCAGAAACCGATAAAACGTGGCAATATGCCATCAGTGAACGGCACCACGCGCGTCCGCCATTTAGATATTAAATTGACGAGCGAGCAGCGTGCAAAAACGACGTCGTTCAATATCGCTAATTGTCGTCCGTCGGGTTGTCAAACTCGAGTTTCATCTTCCTAATTCTCTCGATCGAGGCGCGTGTCACGAGGCACTTGATCTCATCATGTTCGGACGACACTGACTGTTTGGATCGCTTCCACTTAAGACGCCGTTTGACACGCCCGAGGGGAAACTCAAATTACACCGGCTTCGCGCAGCAATCTTAGTCGATCGTCACGTGTGTCAGCACAATCTGTTCATTATCACATCGACGTTTGCTCAACTCGGCTCGGGTGACCAGATTCGCTACATATCATAATATATATATATATATATATATACGAGCGAGCGCATTGTGTCGGTGAACAAAAGACGAGGGTGAGAGAGTTAGGACGGCGGAGGAGGGAGGAGAGAAATCGCGTTATCGGTCGAATAAGCCGGGAAATGAGTCAGTGTCTTCTAAAATTTCGCTCGCCTCGTTGAGTGATCGGAATATTCCTTTCTCCCTCCTCCGTGATACGACATATATAGGTCCTCGCTCAAACCGAATTTATTCGCCGACAAAATCCGGCGCTCGCGAGAGTAGAGTTAAGGCGAGATTCATTGAACAATGTTAATTCCACCTCAGAGCTATGAAGAACATGAACGGCGTGAAGAATTCCATAGACCCCACCGACCCGACCGAGACCACCACTTTAAGGCCCAAGTTGGAGACCTTCGACGACATTTTGCCATACGTCGGCGACTTCGGCTGGTACCAATGTCTGCTTCTGTTGGCGTTATTCCCCTACAGCGTGGCGTACGCCGTCCTGTACTTCTCGCAGTTCTTCCTCACTCTCGTGCCGCTCGAGCATTGGTGCAGGATAGACGAACTGATGTCACCGAATTTTTCGCAGGAACAAAGGTAGGATTTTCGTCGTTATTGTCCGTCCAAGGTCTCTCGTCGACATTCGACGTCATCGATATAATTTGAAAAAAAAAATAAATAATGCCATGTTTTCGTATCTGCCGAAATTTTTTTCTCTCTTCTACATCTTCTTTTTTCTATCGATTTCTTCACGCAGGAACAAAGATAAAATTTTCGTCAATATCATTCGTGAAAAAACCAGCGTGTTTTTGTCTGTTGACAAATTTCTTGTTCTCCTCTCTGTATCTTCTTTTTCCTGTGCGCTTTTTCTTTTTCTTTCTGTTAATTCCCTCGCCTCATGGACGAACCGATCTCATGACACTTCGCGCAGGAATGAAGGTAAAACTTTTGTCGACATTTATTATTCATGAAGATTTCCTCGTGATATTGTTCGTGGAAAAAAAGAAGTCAATGTTTCTCTGTCTCGACGAATTCTTTATTTTTCTCGACGTCTGCTCTTCTCTATGCGTCCCATTCTTCGCGCTAATTACATCACTGTGTCCTCACAGGATCGAACTCGGCATACCTAAATCCCAGAATTATCCGTATTACGATCAGTGCCATCGGAAGGACCTGGATTTCTCCGCCATTCTGAGCCGCGGTGGTGACATCCGCTCGATCGAATGGAAGACAAACAAGACCGTGGATTGCAGCAGATGGGAGTACAATTTCACGCAGATCCCGTACGCCAGTATAGCGGCTGAGGTGAAGTATCCTCTAGGGTGCGCCATGTGCGCCATAAGACAATAAGACTGAAGATTAGCGGCTATTCTTCCAGACGATCGACGCAATTATCCGTAATCACGATCGCGGTCCTCCTCGGTGATAATCACAGCAATAAAGAAATCGCGTCTCACACTATCAATTCGAACCGCTGCCAATCGCGTTGTCATTTGCGCGAATATGTTTCTCATAATTATCGCTCATCGTTGAGATCGACATCAGGGACGATTTATAATCGCTACCCTTAACGTTCGTCAAGAATTCCGATGCATCGCGTGTACTCGAGAGCTTACGACTCGACGTCGACCGTGACGTTGCGTCCAGTGAGCTCTATAATACACACTGGAGTGAGTCCTCAAGGAGATAAATACAGATGGGTAGATAGATTTATCTCACCTCAGGGTAGAATCCCTTTAGGTACACAACGAGGAAAGGAAATGAACGAAATTGAAGAGAGATGAATCGCTAACATGTACAAAGGAGAATCTTAAACGCGATACGATGATAAGTGAAGAACATGAGGAACAATCGCTAGACATAAGTAAAACATCGTATGCAGTTGGAAAAGGGAACAAAGAGACGCAACATGATAAAAATGAGAAAAGTAAAGTTAAATGTATGAGAACAAGATAATATATTCCAAGGAGCACAGCCGCAAAAAAAACCAAGAAATGCGGGTCAGAGAGGGAAACTTGCCTTATCCTCGCCCCACAGCCCGGTAATTCTATGCAAAACTTGCGTTGAAACGAAGGTAACGCGAGATAGCACGTCAGTTACATCATCTGGCGATATGAGTTCTAAAGATAGAATGCCGTGACTGCGAGGGATCTTCGATAAACTTTCACACGACGATAGTAAACGATAGTAAACGATAGTATTCGTTGATAATACCTTGACGAAAAAGAAATACATACGTATAATTACATACGGATTTTATCTCTTGTTTCTTTCATCATGTTTCTTTTATCGGGACACTCCGTTTGAAACGCTGAAAAAGCGTGACTGACGATAGCAATCTGAGGGTAGCAATCCCATCTATCTGCCTCGTCGAGGGCTCACTCGGCAGGATATGACAGAGCTCACTGGCGCTGTATCCCCACGCTGATCCTGGTACCTTCGTGATTAGCTAGATTGGGTATGCGACCGGGAATATCTCATATCGACGGCACAGGCTATCTTCTTCTGCGGCTCCATCGTCGGCGGCTTCGTCTTCGGATGGATCGCCGACCACAAAGGCCGGATCCCCGCGCTGATGCTGTGCAACGCGGTCGCCCTCTTGGCCTCCATCGCGACCGCGAGCGCGCGCACCTTCTGGTCCTTCTCGCTATGCAGGTTTCTCACCGGGCTGGCTTTCGACAATTGCATCAACATACCGCTGATCATCGGTGAGACCTCTCCGGCGAATTTCGTGCGCGTGGGTGACGCTTTTCGAGATCTCCTCCGTCGTCTAGTCAATAGTCGTGCCGCGAACTTTAGTCGAGTGCGTGAATTTATTGCCGACGTGGCCGGCCGGGTTGTCAATTATGCAATCAGATGTTCCGATGTTACATGAATCTGCCGACACTTGTCCGACATGCCTAATGAAATGCCGAATTGGAAATTGGTTCGCAGTGGTCGAATACATGGCCGTGAAGAGACGAACTTTGGTCGTCAATGTCGCCTTCGGCATTTACTTCGCTCTCGGCAGCACGGTGCTACCGTGGGCCGCGTACTACGTAGCCGACTGGAAGTTCTTCGCTTATATCACCGCCGTGCCGATGATGAGCGTCTTCATCACGCCTTGGATTCTTCCCGAGAGCGCTCGGTAAATGCGCGACACACACACTCTCTCTCTCTCTCTCTCTCTCTCTCTCTCTCTCTCTCTCTCTCTCTTTCTGTCAATTTTCCCATTTCTCCCCCATTTAGCCGAGACGCCGTCGCTGTGCGCAAAATTTCGTAATTCACGGTCGAGGTAGTTGCAGCTTTCCGTCTGTTTGGTTTCGCACTTAACGCCTTCGCTTCATTCGAGGAATTCTTACCACATCGTCTATCCATCTTTATATGACTGTGTAAAATCGGCTTGGTTTGTTTATACGAAAAAGGTGTATATATATATATATATGTGTAAAATTCATGAGAGAACTTTTGGTAAAGATCAGTTTGTAGACGAGAGATCGGTGCTCGCAGAAAGTAAATACGACATTTATCAAATTCCTCAAGCGAATACCGCCGCGGTGCGGTATTGGGGATGTTGCGGGACGCAACTTGAACTTCCCACGCGCGTGTGCCCCGTAAGGTCATTTCACCGTGTCACCCGTTGTCCTGTCGTCTGTACTTTCTGCTGAACGGAACACTGTTTCACGGTTAAGATGGTTCGTCGCCAACGGCAGAATAGACAAAGTGGTGCAGAAGCTGCGGCGGATAGCGAAGGTCAACAAGAGGAGCCCGGATGCGCGCATCTACGAGATCTTCGTGGTAAGTGAGGTACCAAACACAAAGCCTCCCTCCTCCCACCCTCCCGCTGACGATCCAAAGAGACCGGAACACGAGCGCAGCGTTTAATCCACGTCCGTCTTAATCCCGTTCGCAGAGAAACTTGACCGCGTCCGATACTCACACGGAGAGCGCGACCATCTTCGATCTGTTGAGGTCACCGCGGCTAGCGAAGAACGCTATCCTACTGATCTTCATATGGTGAGTACGACCTTTGTAGTTGTCGATCTTCTTCCGTTGCGCCTGATGTGGCTTCCCCTTCGCGAAAACAACGTCCCCTTCAACGTCGCGCGATATTAATTTTAGAGAATAACGCGTTTCTGTCCCGCAAATGTAACATCTCGTCCGAAATACGACACGATCCACCTATAATACCTCTCTCTATAAGAAGCCTCGAGATCTGGCAGCTTCTCGCGCACCACGTGGTTGCCCGCAGCCCGAAGATCCGTTCAATTTACATCGCGTATTATTTTTCAAGATCGCGCAAGACATCCGGTAATTCATGCCCGCTATTTATACACAGCGCTATTTTTCAAATAAAAATTTCGCATTTTCTTCTTGGCCAAGATGATATCGTTAATTTGCTTGAGGGCTGCTCGCGAGTTAAACTTCGATCGACCAAATGAACAAAAGGATACAATTTCTTCTAATTCTCTTCTCTACCAATCTCAAGTGAATTTTATCTCAACAGAATTTCGGATTCTGAAGATCAGCTTTAAGTGTGTGAAAATTAAAGAATCCTCTTACAACAACATCAGCAACAATAATGTAAATAATGGGCGCGAAGAGCAACGGACATGCTACTTCTGCTATCATATATATGTCACGTATAAAGCTGGCACTCTCTGAGCACCGATGAAATTATAAATTTTTCGCAACGCGTTTCAGGTCTTTGACGGTGATAGCGTTTGACGGCCACATGTACTCTCTCAAGCTGATCCAAAGCTCGGTGTTCGTGTCCTTCTCTCTCGCCTGTGCGACGGAACTGCCAGCCGGGCTGTTGCTGACGTTGCTATTGGACCGTTGGGGCCGCAGATTCTGCGGATTTATCACTCTGGCCATGACTTGCCTCTTCAGCTTCGCCGAGTTGCTGCTGCAGTCGAGTGAGTGGGCGGGGACAGGCCTCTCTATATGCCTTCGAGTAATATCGAGCGCTCGTCTGCTAACGCGATCTCATGCATTTTATTGTCCAGCCGTGGCGATACTCACGATGTCGGTGCTGTCGCGATTTTGCCTCAACATGGCGGCCAACGTGGGTCTTCAGTACGCCGCCGAATTGTTGCCGACCCCGGTACGCTCGCAGGGCGTCTCGTTGATTCACATAATCGGCATAATCGCTCACTCCCTCGCGCCGTATGTCGTGGACGCGGTGAGTAAACTTCCGTACTTTGTTCTAAGGCCAATTTCACACCATCTTCGATTAACTTAATCGGCCGATTATTACCCCGTTGGAATGTTGGATCGGTCGTTTTTGTCGTCGAGCAGAATTGACTGGAATTGAGCGATTAGTGTTGACAGTTTGATCGATCGATCAAGTTAATCGAAGTGAAATTGATTCTTGATTCTTCTCGCGCGAGAAGAGGAAGCTTCGATCTCTCGTCATGCCTGAAGCCGCGCTTTTCACTTTGATCGAGCCGCTCGAAATCTTTCCAGGCCAAGATCTGGGACGGCTTGCCGATGATGATCATCATCATCGTGTCCTTCGTCGCCGCCACCCTCATATTGTTCCTGCCGGAGACGCTCGGCCGCGACCTGCCGCAGACTCTGCGCCAGGGAGAGGACTTTGGCAAGGATCAGAGTTTCTGGACGTTGCCCTGCTGCCAGAAATCCTACGTGGACCGGCATCAACATTATCGTTCACGTGAGCTGTAGTCTTTTCAATTTCATTACGGTCCCCCGCGTGCAAACAGCGTGGGCACGTTATAGCTCAAGAATTTATTAACGTCACGTCGACGCGATGAATTTATGACGTTCCGTCGTACACGTTAATGTATAACACAATTTATTCAGTGACTATACTTTTTTTATATGAATTAATAAAATTTATACATAGGAAATCCGCGGCGTAAGTCGGGGAACACTTTTCGTACTTCTCCTCTTTCCTTTTTCGCTTTTGTTCTACAACTAGAGGGATCCTCCTCGAGAATGAATACGAGAAACGGATTTCGTGAAACAGCAATAAAATGTATATTTTTTTGATTTTCCATCAGTAATTCAGTTGCTACCGGTTGCAGAGATCGCAATCGGTGCAGCGAGACTGGTCGACCACATGGTCGCCGTGTGATTCTCGATAATTTTCAAGTTTGGCAGTAAATGCGTCATAGATGAGAGACACCCCTCGCGACGCAGCCAAGGCCGCACTCTGTCTGTCGGCTTTAAATTACTTAAAATTTTCTACTTATGTAACTAATTGGTGGTGATTGCCGTCGCCGTTGGCGCATGGCAATTTCGCAACGACTCTTGATGATGCATCAAGAGAGAGAGGGACTATAATCCCTTTGTCCATGCGCACGATTCGGCTAGTCTCTGCTATATTGTTTAACAAATATCGAGATTACAAGTGCACGAGCCCCGTGTCGCTCGTATCTCGACGCGATTAATAAACTGTCCTTCGCGCCAGGGAAGAGTCCTCCGAGAAAGAGGAACGAGCAACGAACGGTCGGCAGGACGTCCGTTTGCAAGATCATGCGCGAGCACGATATAAGTGAGTAATTTACTCATTAATCGTTTCGATTAATCTAAAGCTACGCAGTTGAATAGTTTTATATCACGCTGCATCGCGCACGAGAGCTGCGAGTCGACGATCGAAGACATAAGAATATCAATATGTATTGTACGTGTGTGGGAGTATATTTGCGTGCGTGTACGTGTGTGTATGTATGTGTGTGTGTGCGTGCGTATGTATGTGTATGTCGTCAGGAAATAATCCGGAAGAAAAATAATTCTACACTCCCGAAACTGTCGCACTTGGCGATTCAACGTGCACTCTGCGCGCATTCGTGTCCATTTGAGCGTGCGCCCGGGAGAATATCTGGAAGTGCATTCTGCACTTACACCCCGTCGTCTACTTACAATTAATCCGCCTCAGTCCGATCCGCTTCGGTCACCGCACATCACACTCGCTCAACGTGTCCGTTACGTCACGAGCTTCAAGAGAAACACCTAAGATCACACACGCGGGTAACACTCGGTCGCAATATTTACAACGATTCGGCAAACTTCTCTGTCTCTCTTCCTCTTCTTTCTCTCCCTCCTTCTTTCGCTCTCTTTCTCTCTCGGCGGGTTGGTCGTCGTGATTGTATGGCCGCTATAATCTGGTGGAATCGATCGTCTGGATGCTGCCGTGGAAGGCTGTGTTCGTCATACCCTGCTCCTGCTGCCGCCTTAGTGACCTCTTCAGCTGCGGCGAGCTGTAAATTCACACGAATGACGGATAAGAATTCACGAATATTTGACCGTCGGGAGTTTATTGATTCTTTAGCCGGGATAGATTTATAACTGTCTTATTTTTATTTGCATTCGGCTGGAAAAAAAGAAATTGTCGGCGAGGACTTACGAGGATATGCAGGGTATCCACCAGAAGCTCTGGTCAATGCCAAAGTCGTTGCCTTCCTGCAGAGTTTCGGGCAAGTCTTGGTTCAAGGTCTCCGGTAATGTCAGTGTCAGGAACGCATCCACGAACGACAGCAAGCCGAGAACTATCAGCGGCAGAGACGGATGCACATCGGCCTGGAACCAGCGACACATTTTTCATTTGTTGTAACTTTCTTTTCCATTTACTGCAATTTTCACCGAGGAAAATCCACAAGTAATAGAACCGAAACGTTTGAACCGAACACGTTAAAGTATATTTTTGTTTCTTTTAGGTATCATCAGTTTCCTCTATGTATTAATATTTCTCTCGAGCAACACAACGCTGGCTCTTACTAGCCTCTACATTTGTTACTTGATTGTATACTTGACGAGCCGATTTATCTTCTATAGAAACGAAACATTGTTGACACACATTAATTATTCATTTTCCCTGCACTGTTTTTCTTTTCCTTTTGTCTTTTCTTTTCTCTTTCGTTTCCTCGAATCGTTTTCAGCGAATCTCGCTGAAAAAGATCTCCCAGGGAATACTCACCAAATAAATCACGTAGGGGCCGACTATGTGAGCGATGTAGCCAATAATGTGAATCAGCGACACTCCTTGCGCCCGTACCACGGTCGGCAACATTTCAGCCGCGTATTGGAAACCGATATTTGCGGCGACATTGACACCAAGGCGCGCCAAGATCGCCATGGTGACGGTTAATACACCTGAAATATCGTGTAAATGCAACGTACTGAAAGTACCGGTTGCGCCGGATTGGAGTTTGCTCCGATGAAACTTGAAGCTTTGACCGTAATAAAGCGCGACGGGCAAACGGCAAGCTGAATTTTTTCCGTCGACACTTTTCCTTCTTCTTCTTCTTCTATCGTTTTACATTTATCGTGACTTAAAGCTTCGACGGACAATTAGCAAAACGCTAATAGTCGACGCAACTCACCGGGAGGAGTCAAGAGCGCGATTAAGGAGAAAACGCCGCATGTGAACATCGAGGCGAAGCCCATCCATCGTCTGCCCCATCTATCGAGGAAAAGTGCCAGGAGAATCGCGGCCGGAAGCTCGGTCATGGCGGCCAAGGAGAAGGATGTGAATACATCGGGATCCAGCAACTTCATGTTCCAAACATGTCCGTCGAACACCCAGATGATCAAGAGCCTGTGAAGCGAATACATTAATTCAATTCAAACGAGAAAATATCTTGCGGAGCGTACAACATTTCGTAGGCGTTATCGTCGTTCTGCAAGATAATTATTCAGGAGAAACATTTCTGTCCATGTAAGCAGAACCTTTCGTCGCCCGGGGAGCAGGTGAAAACCCGTTTGTAAAAATAATAATGGAAAGATAAGGAAAAGAAAGATAAGATAAAAATAATGAAAAGATAACAAATAGAAATGAGACTTTCTTGTGGGAGCTTTTTTCGTCAGTCCGTAGTCCTCAACTGTCGCAGCCGAATCTTAACTGCCGAGCAGTTGAGTGCTCGGAGGGCGAGTCTTTCCGATAACATGGACGTCATTTCTCGAATTTTCGTCTGGTCGGTTGCACAAACTGAAACCAACGTCCTTACTCGACTCTTATTAGCCGACTCTTAGCGATTGAATGTCTGATAGCCTCAATGCTCAAGTTTCGTTCGATTGAATTCACTTCTCATTTCGTGATATTTACCAATAAATGATGAGAATAACGGTGATACGAGCCAGCCGTGGCAACTTGAAGAGATGCAACACGGTGTACTGATTGTACGATTGGTCCTTCTCAATCATCGCCTTGCAGCTCTTCTCGAACTCCTCGAACACCTCCGGCTTCACCTCCTTGCCGTTGACCTTGGCGAATTTCTTCAGCATGTCGATCGCCTTGTCTATTTTGCCGTTTATAATGTACCATCTGTGAACGATATTCCCAAAGGGATTCATTAGCACTGAGTGCACTTCAACGAAGTGTTCGATGATGACCAGCGTCGTAGAGGGTGAGAAAGCAATTACCGTGCACTTTCCGGAACAATCCATGGTCCCAGGAAGGCGACGATCATCGGGAATGCGGTAACGACGCTTAAGATTCTCCAGTCAGCGAGCCAATACGCAATCCACGGTAGAATACTGGCGGCGATGGCAAAGTAAATTCCGAAGGACATGTTCGCCACCAAAGTTCTATACTTTGGGCCGACATACTCGATCACTGCGACAAGAAAAGTATGACGGCGTTATTCGCAGTAATTTCTGCAGGATCGAGATTCTACCGCAGTATGTGTCAGACTTAGGAAGAGTAACTCATTGCTCGTAACTCTTTGCAAGTTACTTTTTTCTTCTTTTCAGTAACAACAACTTGGTGACGATTAGATTTTCATCGGTAATGAAAATCCGATACCTACCTGCGCCTATCCTCAAGGGGCTGCTTCGTTAAGACAGAAAATTCGTCTCAGTCTCTGATAATTATCCTCGCTTTATACATTTATTCTCACGGTAATACATACCTATAATGAAGAGAACGTTGAAGCAGTTGTCGAAAGACGAGCCGACAATCAGCCTCGCGATGCAGAAGGACCAGAAGCTGTTGCAGAAGGCGGTCGCGATCGAAGCGAAGAATCCCACGGCGTTGCAGGAGACCAACGCCGGTATTCTGCCATAATGGTCGGCTATGTAGCCGAATATGAAGCCGCCGATGATGCTGCCGACGAAGAAGGCCGACTGGGCCGCGGAGCCGAGGAAGGTCTTGTCGCAGACCCATTCGAGCTGACAAAATCGCACACGTTATCGCAGTCGCTCGTGATAAAGACTATTTCGCATATAATTAAGATATTTCTGGTTTTAACCCGTTGGGTTAAAACAAATAAAAATTAATTAATCGCTATTAATAGCTTCGCCGTCATCGCTTTTTCTCCGACATCTTCGTAAAGGTCGAGTTCTGTGCTTCGGTATTCGAGATTCTGCGAGAGAAGTTATGCATTTTAAAGCCGGTCCCGGTGTATTTTGTAAGGAGAAGAACAAAGGAGACTGTGACACGTGCGAGCACTCTCTTCGTATTTCAACAAGCGATGATCAACAAATTTATCAAACGATTAACTCCGTCGTCCGATAGGATCTGAGGACTCGTGTCAGAAAATAGCACCAAGCGAGAGTAAAAGTATTGCTTGCTAGAAACAACATTCTGCACGCAAAACCCGAGAGATTTAGCACGTGTACCAAACGCTTAGACCTTTCCCGAAGCTTCTTCTCGATCAGAAATGTTGATAAGCAGCGACAAGTCCACAGACACTTCGAGCATGCTTGAATCGCACCTGGACACACGTTCTCAGCGATTACACACGTTTCATTCCACTACGCTAATTGCGTAGTAAATTAAATGCGTTAGTTTCATATATTCAGACTGAAGGCAAACATCGAGCACGTCGAGAGCGCTTTCGGCTTTCGGCCAATCTGTATTCTCTTCTGCAACCTTTTGTCATTAGAGAAGTCTTCAGGCAGGTCGAAAACGCGTTTGGTAGATATGTGTACATGTGTCAGTTTCGCCGGGTTCGCGTGTAAAGAATAATAATGTTTACCAATAACATTTGCAACGTAATTGCGTTACTTTCGTTCAGTCGACTCCGCCGACTCCGTCGTCGACACAAGGATGCAAGGACTTGCTATATACTCGCGAGAAGATAAGCGTTCTCATTAAGCGCACATGATGGAGCTACCTACCTCGGCAGCGATGGAGGCGTACGGTATCATGGTGTGATTGAAGGTCCAGCCTTGCTTGCACTTTACCGTCGGCCACGATAGATTCGCCTTCCTGACACCCTGCTCGAGCAGTTCGGTGTAATTCACGTCGTACATGTAGCATCTTGAGAACGGCGTAGCGCTTTCCAGCTGCAGTTCCTCCTTGGTTGCCGGCGGTATCGCTATCGAGATTCTGCGGACATGAATGCGACGACAATGCCCGATACGTCTAATTTCCCGGCGTCGCGTGGTCGCGTCGCGATTTTACAATCGCGCCGATAAAAGGCGTGCACGCGCGCGAAGAAAGAAAAAGGGAAGGAAAAAGACTGGCCGTTAAACCTGCGTCGTGTCGCATTGCGATTATGTCGGGTGGCTCATATTATGCGCATCTTGCACCTGCGGCAGGATGAGCGAGCGAATTTTTCGCAGCGTCCGTTCGCACGAGTGGGTACGATGTAATCCCGCGCGTGGACACGTTTTCCAGGACCTTCGCGCCAGGACACAACGCTCGGAATGGGAATTGGCATGTTTGTCGTCCGACTATCGTGCCAAGTGGTAAGCCCGTTCTCTTATATCCAAACACGAGTTCTATATCTAGAATTGTAGACTTGCGTACACAAACTACGCCTTCTTATAGGCTCGAAGACATGAAGGGAAAATATTTTTTAGGGAGATTCCAGAGAGAAGAGATTTGAAGGTACAAAAGAGAGATAGCTGCATTCCTTCCCGAGCTTGCTATCTTCGCCTAGCATTCTCCAACAGGAATGAAGTTGGTGGAAGGTCGAATTCTTGAAGCACAGACCGTTCCTCCCGGATATAGCCTTGCAAACTCTTATGAAGTCTATGGTCGGTGTCTATGTTCAGAACCGGCGTGATGGCCTCAACATTTCACGCGAATACTAGAATGTCTTTTAATTACGCGACACGATTTATTTTAGTGTCCAGAAGAGAACGATTGGGAAATTTCGCGCTTTTCCTTCGCCGATAACATCAAATAGAAAATCGTGTCCGATAAAATAAGAATTCGAAAATGATGAGCGGGAAAGATATTGGGAGAACTTGGAAATTTTCCACTTAGAATCACGTAATTAACGTCATTATACTTCTAAGATTTCGTTAGACTTTGGAAAATCGAACTGGGTTCCAGTCGGAGAAACTTTCTACGCGGGATCGCTTTTCCGGCTCATTTGTATTCGATGCAACAGCGAGATCTTCCTTCGATTCTTGCCGACGGCGGAGATGGCCGTCCGGAATTGCGGGCAATTTTAGCGCATCGCATCGCCGAATAATCTCGCGGCTCGCGTGAGAGGAGGCGTCGTAAAAAATCCGCTCTTCCAGGCGATCGCTCGGCGAAGAGAAGGAGGACGACTGTATCGCTGGCTCGGGGAGCCCTGCTTCTGGAATCCCTTCGAGGTCGACGGGCAAACAGGTTTTCCGTGTAACCTGAGACACGGAGAAATCAACGATTGACTGATCTGAATCACGCGGCGGCCGCACGACGGCGGATTTTCCGCGTGATGCCCGGTATGACTGATCCGTGCGACACGCTCCGTTGACAACGTCGGCCGGCTCGGTTTTACTCCGATTTCTCGTCATACGTGAATATAAGAAGAGTGGTGATAAGAAATGGAAAGGCGCGAGAATATAAGAAGAGACCGCGTCCCGTCGCGTCGCGTCGCGTCGGCTCGCGTGAGAAACCGACGGCCGCGCCGGGAAACGCCGAGCGACCAAATGATCGGCGTTGAAGGAGCTGAAACTTCACCTCTCGCGGGTGTATTTCCTCTCCTCTCGATCGACGCGCGCGTTACGTCACGCGCAAAAAATGCAATTACATCCTTGCAGTCTGGCGCAGAAAATGTACGAGAAACGCATAATCGTGCAGCCGACAGAAAAGCTTATTTTCTTGCGAAACGAGAACGAAATTATGCGTTCGACAGGAAAAAAAATCCTAATCATTGTCTTGTATAATACAAAAAAGCATTAACTGAGCCATTCAAATGCGCGTCAGTATGCGATAAGATATTATTACCGGAAATGCACGTGTAAAATTACCACCGGGAGCATACGTGACTCTGACGGTTGATATACTTTACGTGACCGTGACTTTTCATCGGTTTATAAAACGCGTTGGAAATTTAACTGCTGGACAGAAGAAACAAACAAGCCGCGATAAAAAAGTCGACAACGAGCGAGAAACTCCGCGTCGGCCCCGTCGAGAATCTTCGACTCGTGTATCCGTACATGCATTGTTCGCGATGAGCAAAGAAGACGAATGAGCAAGCAGCCGTTCGAAAAATCCACGCGCGAGGAAGAACGCGAGAATTCGGGACACCCAGTATATGTGCAAAAAATCCGGCAGGCATAGGGGCGAGTTTAAATATAGGCCGGCCGAACCGTGGCTCTCGGTCTCGGTCAGCCGGGAACCTTGAACTGTCGTTATGAATTTAAGGCGAAAGGGAGTTCCGTCTCGTCGCGTCCTGAATTCCCTTTCATCCTCGGACTTTCACGTCGGGCCGATTGCCGAACCTCGCCTACTTCGCCATCCTCGCGCGTGTCAGCGGTCATTTCCGCACGTCTCTGCGGAAGTCCGCGAGATCGCCAGTCCCGCTCCGAAATCTTTCCCTCTTTCTTTCCGAAAGTCTGCGCTTTACTCGGAGATGCGCGAAGAGCGCAACGCTGGCATGCTTATCGGCCTGATAACGATCACTTAATCAATAAATCGCCACGTAAAGAGGGGGCGACTTCATCATCACTCACTGCTCGTAGTCGGTGAGATTCCAATGCTCCAGCTCCGGCACGGTGCACCAGTGCTCGGCGGGGACGAGGGTGATGAAGAACTGCGCGAAGTACAGGAAAGCGTAGACGAAGGTGAACGGCAGCAGTAGGAAGAACAGGAACCATTGGTACCTGCTAGCTTCGCCGACGTACGGCAGGACGTCGTCGAAGTTCTCGATCTTCTTCGTCTTGCCCTCCTCGACCTTCGTGGATTCGACCATGGCTGTCATTGTCGCGATGTCTGGAACACGAACGGGAATTCTCATCTCGCGCGTCGCCACGAAAAGGTTCACGTGAATGAGGAAGATCTCCGGCCGGCATTTACACAAAGAAGCGGTCTCGTCGGCGCTGAACGTGACGGTACGATAACGGCACGCGGGAACAAAGCTGAAGATGCATAATGCGACGCCGGAGAACACCGGCTCTGCATTCTTCCGATAATAAGCCGAGCGAATCCGCGGTTACTCGCGCAAGCGATCGAACGACGAAAGAACGAGCAGCAGAGGCGCGGCGATTACGATGTCTTCGACGGCGAAGCGACCTGGCGTCGCGATTAGCGAGCCGGTCGAGTCAAAATGTATTCGTTACAATGAAAAGTTGTCGTATAAAAATATCGTTGGAATGCCGAGGAGACGAGCGAAGGCGACGAGCAGCTCGAGAGAGGAGGAATTCGCGCAGCTTCACACTTAGCTCCGCAAATATGAGCAGTATAATAATGAGGCAGGCGCATTATATCGACGTTACATACAAAAAATTGGTATCTTTTTTCCCTTTCTCTCTCTCTCTCTCTCTCTCTCTCTGCCCGCTCTCGTCAGCCGCTCCGGTCGCAATTTGGCAGCAATTTCGCGCGCTGCTTCCGAAATGACGAATGCACCATTCGGCTGTCGGCGACGAGTCCGGAGAGCGTTTTCGCGCGCGAGCTTTCAGACGCGAGTAACCGCGAGAAGTGCAACGACGCGGATTATGCGTTCGCGTCGCATACGCTAAATGAGGAATTGTAACAGCTGACGGGCGTGGAAAATTTACGAGATCTCCACGAATGCCGTCGCGTCGGCGCGAGGGCGCGTGAGAGCGCGATAATTGCACGCGCGCCGATATTGCTGCCGATAATATACGAGGACAATTAAGCGTTTAATAAAAATATTAGCGCTGACAACGGCGTGAGCTATTTGCTAGAACCGATGTACGTGCGGCGCCAGGAGAGGATTAATCTTAATGACGACGCGGTTCAAGTCGCGTTGCGAAATAGACCAACAACAAAAATGCAGTGGCGGCGCAACCGCAAAAACGATGCAGCCTTGTTAGCGTGCGGCGCGTGAAGCTAGATTTCGTACTGATCCTTGAATACACGGTTCGGCTCTCGGACGGTACTCGCAACAATAACGATGCCGTGGTGCACAATTGATCCTTCGGACCGTCGTCCGCGGCGGCCCAGTTCGCCGCTGCGCGTTTGCGCCGCTATTGCTACCTGCGGGCTTCCCTAATGCGACGTGAAAAGCGAGACACGAATGATGTCGAGCAAATAAGCATTCGACGTTCACAATACGACGTTTACGAATCGTTAATGAGACAGATTATCTTTAGCAATTAATATTCCTCGGTTGACGCGTTCCAATTGCCGCTCGCGCTGGCTATTACCTCGTGTTGTCGATTTTTAATATTTTACTTCCTTCCCGCCTCCTCGCTAATTGTCTTATTAATGCCCTCTTGCAACCGCCGCTTTTTGCAATCTACCAACCGTAAATTTCGTAGTGTGACGTTCCTTTTTCCACACGGCAAAAAGAAACGTCGCATGGCAATATGAGCGTGAAGCATGTCGACGCTAATGAAATAATCGGAAGCGAGCGACAAGAGCAACAGGTTTGGTAGGTGCGGGGAAAGAGAATCCCCTTGTGAACCCCCTTTCCTCGACTGCTCGGTCGTTCGACTACGTTGCGTTGAAAAACCGACGCGAATCTCGCCGTGAGCGACGTAAACACGGAGCAGCCGGCGCGTGTCGACGAAAAATGATACCCCGGCAAATCGAGCGGGACACGTCGGCGAAAAATCCAAGCGAATCTTTACCTGTAGAGAAGGCTCTCTCGCACAAAGGACGACGCGCCGCAGGATCAGCGCACGCTGTGTGGCCACGCAGCTACGAGATTTATTAATCCACAGGACTCGGCAGACTCACACTTTACGGCAAGCGAGGGGAAAGGACAGCCGAACGAAAATACGAAAAAAGGATCCCGAACCGGACTTGCGCGGCTTTCGAATCGATCGCGCTCGCACGTGACTCTCTCTCTCTCTCGCGCTGGAGATCGCGCTCCTGCGCACGTGGTGGCTCCTGCGCGTGGACGTCGAGAAAATCTCGCTCGGTGCCTCCCTTGACTCTCGTTCGCGTGCGACTCGTGTTCTCCGCCGGTTTTTCGGACGATCACGCACTACATCGTCGTTTTGAGAGGGCGCGTGTAGACTGTCGACGGTGCGGCCGTTTGGTGGGGCTTTATAGCCTTCCACGACACGAAACTGTTCTTCCCCACCTCGATAGAGCCGGGATCCGATAAACGCGAACGGCCGGAGGGCCCGTCATCGTCGGCGGCGGCGGCGGCGGCGGCGGCAGCGGCGGCAGTGAATCGCGGGCCCATGACGTCACTGGAGAACGCCAGCGTCTCTCCGGGGGTTTTCTCGAGTCAACACGCACGCGACGAAGCTGCCGTTCGATCTTTCCTGCGATCGCTTTCCGCGGACGTCATCGAACACGCGCGAACGTGATTTCCTCCTTCTCCGTCGCGGCTCGACATTTCGCGGCTGCCGCGCGCAGATGAGTGTACAGGTGCGCAGGTGCGCAGGTAAGACAGGCGGCAGGTCGTCGAGACCGGCGGAAGACTTGGGAAAGGGTGCGTGTATGCGTCAATCACCGAGTATTTTCCTGAGAAAGTCCTGAGAGAGAGGGGAGGGGGGAATCTATCACGATAGCTGGGAGAATCAAAGACTGATACTCCCGACGACGTCGACGTCAGAGAAAATCGAGATGCGAGATTAGAGTGATGGAAATGCATTGCTCGCACGCACGCACGCACGCACGCACGCACGTACTCGCGGACTCGTTGCCTCGTTTCTGAAGGAAATCGGGAAAATCCTTTCTTCGCCTTCGGCGATTTCTCGCGTCGCTCGATCGAACGCTGTGCTATTGAGCAAATAGTCCAACGACTTTAAAGGCGTCCGTCTCGCGCCACACGTGTGCGACGCATCGATTTTTACGAGAGACTCGCGCGATTGTGATAATTTCTTTATGTATGCACGCGAATTTTTTTATGCGAACAAACGTGGGATATCCATCTTCGAGTATTACATAAAAAAAAAAAAGAAAAAAAAGTAGTAGAACAAAATAATACGTAATAGACGAATTTCCAGATGAGCGATAAAAGCGAACGTATCAATAGGAATATTAATCTTGATCTGCATCGAAGAGAAACATAGAGGAACGACGTTTGTACAGATGTCTCAGCAAGATTTCAGTATCTCGCTCGACAAACATCGAAGGATCACACGCGACTGGAAACAGTGATGAGTATCGTTTCCATCTTCTCGGATATCCCGAATTTCACTTGATTTAACCACAATCTGACTTTAATCAACTTGGCTCTAATCAATTTGACTTTATTTATATCCTGCTATAATTTCACTTTAATTCCATTACAATTTCACTTCCACAATTTGACTTTCAATTTTTATTTGATCTGATTTGGACTTTACATTGACTACAATTCGACTTGCATCCGGCTTTAATCTCTAATACTAACTGCAATTTAATTCGTCTAGCAGAATACATAAGGAATTAATCGCAAAGTTAACAATCCAATCTTCAGGATCTTTAAGAGATTCTTCGGAAACTTCTGGGAACTTCGGTAACTCAATCAACTTCCGTTACCAGCATCGCTTATGCGTGTGACCATGATACTTTTATTTCTATATTTACACACACACACACAAACGAAATCTGTTTTATAGCGTTATATAAAAAAAAATACAAAATGTTCCGCGAGATAAACCGTGTAAGTGAGTCGTTGTAGCGAACGTAGTAAATTGACAAACTCAAACATGCCAGAAATACTTTTTTTATTTGAACGAACATTCTCGATATCACGAATGATCGATGTGTATTCGCAAGGTTGTGTGCGCAGGCAGTTTTCGCTGGAACGCATATTTTGTAAATTTCATTTTGACGGTAAGCAAGGTAAAGATATTATCGGCTCAAACAGACAGGGGATGACATTCATTTCCAAGTGAGAAATTTCCAATATGTGTTTTGTTTTAACATGTCTTACAGAGATAACTTGTTTCGAAGTACCGAGTAGCAATATGAAAATCACCGAGTCTAGTAAGGAGAATAAGATAAGATACAATCGTGCCACAAATAGTCACGAAGAAATATTAAACAATTTATTTGAGTTACAGGAGCGAGAAAAAGAGGAAGAAAGAAGGGGGAGGGGGGACGAAGCAGAAGGAAGAGACTCGTCACTCGCGAAGTAAATCCGCGATGAATTTGCACCCAGCGCGTTTATTAGCAGCCGTGCGTGTACAGACCGCGTGTGTGTGTGTGTGTGTGTGTTCGTGTTCTAATAAAAATATAAAACAATTTATAAACACAGATGATGTCAAAATCAGAGAGTTTGCGTCACTCGAGTGAATCGTGCTGAATGACGTGTAATCGAGCTCGACACCAACCGCATCGAGACATGCAAATTTGAACGATCTCGCAGTCGAGGATCGGTTCGTGAAAGCGATTTTGCATAATAACAACGTGAGAAATACGCGAAATTCCGTTAATAAGAATTATAGTTCGCCGTCATTAAGCAATCGATCCTCTTCCTCCTCGTCGTCGCGCCAACAACAAATTTTCCTTGTCTACTAATTGCTTCGCTTTGCATTTGGCCGTTAATGTTCTTGCGTGTGTTAATATCCGCGCTTATATATTTTCCGAAGCAATTTCGCTTTAGTTTCAGACGAAACAACCGCCGATAATTGTTTTCAGATAAGCAGAAATTACACGACCAAAATATCAGCTCGACGGAAAACGGTCAACTCGGATATACGAAGGTAGTCCCAGAAGTAACTGGCCTGACGTATAGATAGCGGTTGTTGTTTGTTGTTTGAGAAGAATGACTATGGTAGAAAGTACCAACCTTATAAAGCTTAAGTTTGAAGACGCTATACGTTGTTTAGTATTTGCTTGGCAGCCATCAATAGTGAACGCTCTCAGTGAATTTGTAAACATGAAAAAAATTGGTCATCGTTATGTGATACAATACTTTCATTTGGAAGGCCTCAGTCCAACCAATACAATATCAAACAATATCAATCAACGTTATCTAGGGTTATCAGGGTTTTTTGATTACCTCTTAACGTCAGCTACCTGACGCTCCACGCTCATGACATTCTCCTCTCCCTAGATAACGTTAAGAGGTAATCAAAAAACAATATCAAAGCGGAGCTAGATTCTACTCTGGGGAAGTCTGCTCCTTCATTTACAACAGTAAAATATTGAGTGGCAGAGTTTAAACGAGGCCGTACGAGCTGCCAAGACGAACATCGCAGTGGTCGACCAAATGAGGTGACCACGTCAGAAACGGTGAAGAAAATCCACAAAATGGTATTGGATGACCGTGCGACTGAGAGTGCGCGAGTTAGCAGACATGGTAGGCGTTTCAAAAAGTGCTGTACATCGCATATTGACTGAAAATTTGGACATGAGAAAGCTGTGCGCAAGATTGCAAGGGTGCCGCGATTGGAAGAAAAACAGCGTCGTGAGGATGTTTCAATCGAGTGTTTGGCGAAGTTTCGCAGCAATAAAGCCGAGTTTTTGCGTCGATTCATAACCATGGATGAAACATGGGTCCATCACTTCACACCTGAGACGAAGGAACAGTCAAAACAATGGACACCAAGGTGGCTTGATGGCTATTTTGAGGAGCCCGACGATTCCCACTATAAACAGGGTATCGAAGCTATTGAACATCGCTGGGAAAAGTGTATTGAGCTAAAAGGAAACTATGTAGAGAAATAAAGATATTTTTTCCCAAATTTTTTGTGTTTTCTTTGTTAGGTCCGGTACTTCTGGGACTACCCTCGTACGCGCAGCAGGCGACAGGTAGCGCTTTAATTTTTCACGGGACGTATCTTCCGATACGTCACGCGTATTCGGCCGTGCTCGAGAGACGACGAAGACGACGACCTTGATCGGCAAAACATGCGTAGGGAAATCCCAAGACCCGATATAGAATGCCGGTTCGGAGAAGATATCGCAGAGGAACGTCGTCGATAGAGCCTCAAAAGATACGACTGAACGGGCAGAACCGGTTGACGGACGCGTGTGATAGTGGACGAGCGGCTTCGCGGGGTGAACGCGGAGGAATTACCTACGCATCGAATTTGTGGTATTTTCAGGAAAACGAGCAAGATTCGCAAAGAGAGAGGCGAGGCGAGCAGCTCTCGCGCCGACTTGCCGAGCGACGTTCAACGCGGCCGTCTAAATACCGGTCGACGGCGAACAGCGCGCTCTGCTTCCGCATAAAAATCGCCTATCACAGACAAATCGATTATATCGGCCGGCGGCGTTACGTAAGTGACGACGACAACACGCCATTTCAATCGCGGCTGCTGCCGCGCGAGCGACACGATTCCGACACGCCGACGAAAATTAAATGAATTCGGCGCCGCCGGGACGAAATAACAGCTGTGCCTAAAACTAATTGGATCGACCCGGCCGATATCAATTGTAGCGAGCTACGATCCGAACGATCGGAGCCGAAGAATACGCCGCGGTGTGTATGCGAGCCCCACGTGCTCCGCTGCAACTCGTCCTTGCGTCTTGCGAAGCAATTGCAATAATTGCGTAAAGTGCCCGGACCTTAACGAGCCACTCTCGCGAGAGAAGACGACACGCGAAACGACTTAACGTTTCAGCAGTCGCGGAATTACGGGCGTGTATCGAAAGCGTGTCAAAATCCGCGTCTTTCGGTTCCAAGTAAGCGAACACAGAGAACGGTGCAAGCCGTCGCAAACGCCCGACGGAAAGGCGATTTTTTCAGTCCCACGGCACGACTCGTGCTAATACCGTTTTTTTAGTACCGTTAATATTTTGTCGCGCGCGCGGTCATTAGACCGTGGATCGTGATTGGAAATTACTGGGTTGTGCGATGAATAATTTGAGAATTTTCCGAGGTGAGATGAAGCGATCGGCACTGTTATGTTGTGATTGTGCTATAAAACGATACATACCCGCCGTTTCTCGCACGCATCATGTCATGAAAGTATAACGACGTGAATGTATAATCGCTACATCATACTTGAAAAATCCGATAATCCGCTTGTTGCGCAATCCAATGCATTAAAGGCACATTACTCGTCGCGGTAATATTATCCAAGCGCGTTAGTGCCGCTGGTCGAACAATCATTAAACTACGAATT